TTTTACATATTTCTTTCACAAGTATAAAATTCTATTTAAAATGAGGATTTAATTATTATTTTTTTAATTCTAAAAACAATATATTAATTTTCATCTCAGCCATTAAAAACAAGTCAGAACTGTACATAATGTTCACATCAAAAATCTGGATTTTTACAAATGTGCTCATTTTTATAATATCACCATAAATTACTCTGTATTTGAATTTACATCAGCTTAAAAAATTGTGATGATTTTTTAAAAAAAAATACAGTTGTTTTTTTAAATCATTTTTACAGTTTTTAATGCTATAATGTTCCACTTTTCAAAGCATTTTTCTGACACCTTTGCTGCCAGATTTCCCCGTTTTTGTAAGTAAAAAATAAAGAAGACAACCAAGCAATCTCAGAAATGCCAGGAATGCTACGAGCAGCCTGACATTTCTTTTTTCCCTTTATAAAGTAATAATAAAATATCCTGTAATGCTGCATCTGTCCCAGAACACAACTCAAGGCCTCTGCAGCTGCAAAACAAAGGAGCACCTGTTCTGGCTGGTTTTGATCGGACGGACACACGACTTAGCCGAGACATGATCTGATATGTGGCTGCCAGCAGTGTGATGGAGGTCAGGAATGCAGGTCGACGTAACAGCAGCCGTACAACAAGGTCACACAGAAAACAGCCAAGCGGCCCGGCCCTGGCCTGCTTTCTACCGTCAGGACTCAAAGCGTTGTCACCCAGATGAACAGCCCCCGCTGGAGTCAGAGCTGCACTGTCATTTGATCTAACTGTGCCAGAGATGCTGTTTGAAGTGAGACCACTGCATATATGCCAGCTCTGATAGAACAGCGGCTGCATTGTGATGGGAGAGCGGAAGATTATACTATCAGCAGAGGAATTCTGATTATTTCCCAGAGAGGCTGCACACATGTGGGAGAAACTTTAGGAGGAGCTGTGAGGAATGAATGAATGGGTTCATGTTTTGGAGTACATGCTTATATGGTTTCCTGCTGTTAGTTGGATGAGAAGTTTGATATTGATCTCATATGTGTCTGTTACAATAAGGTTACAGCCAGCAGCTGGTTAGCATAGCTTAGCATAAAGACTGGACACGCTTCTAAAAGTCATTTACTATCTGAACGTCAAGCAGCTTCTGGGTGGTTTTGCTGGCTTGCTGCAATATAAAGTCCAGCAGCTCTATGGAAACAACACAACCATGACTAGATAGGGAGAGAACTGTGAAATGTCTGATGTGCACGAGGAAGAGTTTGTATACTGCAAGTCATGAAAGAAAAAATAAATTAATTTCTTTGATTATTTTCAATATTTGGGGAAAAAAAACGGGATTTAACATATACAACCCTCGCTCACAGATTTTAAATTTTTTACGACATAACTTCTATTTGCAGAGTTACTGATGGCCTCAAGGTTTGCACAAAAAAGTGCAGAATTTTTTGTATTTATTAACTAATTTATTTACAGAATCTGACAAGAACAAACTATTTTTAAATTTTTTTAAAATAAAATATATTAAAAATGTAGAATCCAGTGATTTTGATGAACTCACATTTAAAGCTTTTATCTGTTAACGAAACATGTTGGACCTTGTTTGTTTAATTCCTCATCTTTGCAAAAAAAATTAGCAAAAATATTAACCAATTTATTCTAAAAACAATATTAATTATGTCATCTGAAAAAGCATATTTAGCATATTTGTATGTTGTGTAGATCAAAACTGGATACTTAACTTTAACACAAATTTTAGCTTTTACCTCAACAACCATCAACATTTTCTTTAAAACATATTTACCACTGTTTAATTCTGGTCTAATTTTCAGTCATTTCAACTCAAACCTGTTCTGGTTATAGAATTACGTGCACATCTGAACATTTTAGCATCACTACATCTGGCCGAACTTCATCTGCTTACTGTTGCTGCCTAAAAATCTACCAAATTGGTGTCATTACAAACTATATTACAGAAATATGCTCTCGACTTATCCCAAATTAATACATCCTGGAGCTCAGACAAACCTCAGCAAAGCTTTTTGTACCTCTTTTTCCTCACAGTATGTCCTGATCCTCCTCTGACTGCACATCGATCACATGTATGACACACTGTTAAACTCTTATCTTGCATAATGCAGCATAAAAATTCAATTTGACAGACATGAAACACCTCTGAGCTGTGTTTCTGACCATCATCTTATTTTAGCAAAAGCAGTAATAAGACAGTGCATGAGGAAATCTGTGTCTGGATTTTTGGTATTTTAAAAAAAGCATTAAATAAAACAGAAAAACAACATTTTAAAGTCATTAGCAACAATAAGATGGACAAAATCAGGAGAAAAAACAAAGAGTAAAGCTCTGAATTAATCCATTTAAGGGAAATGTAACAGCTATCACTTTAAAGATAGACTTAGTGGACTTTTCCCCTCCTAAAAGATTAAAACTGAGCAAAAGCAGCATCTTATTGTGAGAACTAATAACCAGCAGCTGACCTGTGACTCTGGAGACATTCAGGAGCCTTCAGTGGGACGTAAGAGAGGAATCCTTCATCCTTCTGTTGACAAAATGACAAATCAGAAAAAAATATGCTTTATACAGCCGTAGAACTGAGGTCAAAATATCACAAGAACAGCTGCTTAAGGAGAAATGTTTGATAAATTAGAGAACAGACTTGATGTGAACGAGTACAAAAACGTATTTGCAAAATAATAATGATGATAAGAACCTGTATGAACTTTCAAATTAACCAAACAAGTTATAAAATTATCTGAATTTAAGAGACGGATGAAGAAATAAGACGGTGTATGAAACCAGCACGGTGGTGGAAGAGGTAGTGACATTATGGAAAGAAATATAAGACCGTCTAAAGTAAATAGAAACTGGAAATATGCAAAAAACACTGTAAACAAGAAGAACCAAAGAGCTCCTGTTTCTCCATGTCGTGTTCTCAGCACATTTCAGACATAACCAAGCTGCTGTTTTTCATTATCAGCTGAACTAACATCACACCGCTGTCATCCCACCTCATGTAACCTGCTCCTCTGTTAATGAGCTGCACTTTCTAGGTGAACAGCACCATCTGCAGGAGCTCAACCAGCATGGAACCCAGAAATTAGCCTGCACCGCTCAGCCACAACATTAAAACCACCAGCCTTAGACTGTGTAGGCCTCTGACCTGTCAAAACCTGGTCTCCTGTAGCAGCAGATCTTTGAAATCCTTTAAAAAAAATCCCTTGTCAAAGTCTGTCAGAGCATCATGTTGAACATTTTTCCTGCTTTCCTTCAAAAAATGTCCACCTGCAGCCTCCACGTCTTCACAGATGTCGCTGTAACGACATCATCAGCGTTATTCACTTCACCTGTCAGAGGGTTTCATGTTGTGGTTCATCAGTTTGGGTCAGAAAATATATGTCGCTGTGAACCAGAATTTATTTTGTTTATTGTCATGTTTTTTAAGATTACAACAGATAATCTGCTCCTGGAAAATGTGTCACCAGAAAAACACACAATATTAATCTGTTTTTTTCTTTAGTTAGATGTCACATACACAGCAATAAATACATAAATATAGAATCTTTTTTTTTTTTTTTTTTACAATTTATTGTTATTTTACAGATTCTCCCCGATGTGTTTAATTACTGGTAATACATAGTGCAAACAGAGAAAACCTTATTCATTTACATGTTAACTGTAAAAAAATAAAAAATAAAAACACCCCCCCCAAAACAAACAAACAAAAAACAGGTCAACATTTTCAATAATTTTATTTTGGCAGAGTCATTTATTTCTTCACAATATTTTACTATAAAATGACACCATTTTCTTTGCTGCATTTAAATTGGTTAAAAATATTGTCATTGAATAAATACATTGTAAATTATGTATATAAGGGATTGAAATTTTACATTTTTTGTACTAAATTAATGATTAATTCCAGACATTATCAAGTAAAATTGCAGAAAAAAAGTAGTAATTTATATGTTAACAGTAAAACAAAAACAGGAACTGTATTGACTGAACATATTAATTCAAAGTACAAAACATATGGAGCACTGTTTATATGAAATACTGGGTTATTTCCCCTTGGATCAGACTATCTACGGATATTTTTTTAAAGAAAGAAGCCAAACAGGCCTGTGATACAAGTAGTCTTACCTCCTCAATTGTAAGTTATATATATAATATTATGTTGTATATATTTTATTTTATATATTTAATTTGTGGGCAAGTGTTTTATATTAACAAGTACTTTATATATTTAGTTCTATATAATAGTGACATGCAAATGGTTCCGAAAACATCACTTCTGCATTATTATTATTTTTTGTTCATCATTGCTCAACGATGAGACTTTTCATGACGGCTTCTTTTTTCTTATATTTGATCTCATCCATAAACAGAGATGATCTGATCTACTTGTCCAGTATTCCAGATTCTGAATCAACGTCACGATGGGAAATAACAGTGAAAACTTCAGGCTTTTATCTTCAATAGTTCCTCAGATATTGTTGTTCAAACAGCCTCACATGTTAATGTGAGTAAAACAAGCTGAAAGCGGGTCAACCGGCAAAGGTGTTTGATAGATCTAGTTTAACAGCATTTTAAACATCTATAGTTTATGACAAAAATCAATAAATTCAAGCAAATCATAGGTGGCTGAGCAGAAGGCCTCTGGTGACTTGAGGTGGAATAACCCTTTAATGTAGCTCACAGCTTCATATGTGGAGCTAAAACTAATAAATGTTTAGAATTGGATTTAAAACTGATCATTAGTCAATTAAATACAACACTGGAGTACTTGTTTTTGTCAGTCATGTTGCAGGTTCTCATTACAGCGTAAAAATGTCTGAAACCAGATTTGCAACTGAGCTGAAGTGATGACAAAATCATATTTATTTGACACATAACGTGAGATCCTGTCTCTAATCTGAGCAGATGATCAGCGCCTCCAACAATGTCTGAACACACAGATGACAGGAATAAGGTTTGGTGTTAACACAGAAGCAGGCAGATGAGTGGAATCATCTTTATTCGACATATCACGTGAAGTGCTGTCAGTAACTTCAGTAAACCAGCATTATTTCAAACACATTAGATAATATAAATTAGGTCCGGTGGTAACACATGAGCACACAGATGCCAAAAAAAAACATAAATAAGACAAAAAAACGTGAGCAGCTGATATTTGAGTGAGGAGAAGAACTTATTGGCAACACCGGAATGGAACGACATCAACGCCAACTGATTCATCTTCGCCAGCGAAACGAGGAAAAGCTTCAAGTGGCATCTGTCAAACTGCACACAAATAATAAGCTCACAGTGATATAAAAAAGGCAGATTAGACACCTGGATCACACTCAGAGCGTCCTGCAGGACTTGTGCAGAGGTAACACCGCTCCTCCTCTGAAGAGAAACACTGGCACACCTTCAGTAGCATAGAAAAGTCACTGGATATATGAGGGAGCACTGGGGTGGGGATGTGGGTGAGGGAGGGGGAAGGAGATAGAAAGAGTTTGGCTTCCACTTCTGCTTCTTCTTCTCCTCCATTTGTGTTTCCTCTGGGCTCTGCAGATCCCACCTGGGAAGCATCACAGCCTGGATGTGCATCTTCTCCCTGAAACAGATGAGGAAATGAACCTAGATGGGCTTTAAATGCACTCATGTGATGAATCCAACCCCCCAACAACACGCAGATGCTGCTAGAAACTGCACCTCCACAGGCCTCTCTAGGTGATATCTCACCTGTATCCTCTTTACAGCGCCACTATTCCACAATGCAGCTCCATTATCGCGCTAATAACGTGCAGAAAATGTGTCGTTTATTCCAGGAGCAGCTTCTTACCTTTGTGCAGGCTGCGGACAGCGGATGCAGCGGGATAAAAACACGGCTCCATCCTGCCGTTCACCGGCGGTTCTCGGTGTCTCCGCTCCATCACAGCATGTAGATGATGTAGGAGAGAAACACGAGGCCCATAATGGCGAAAAACATCAGCACCAAGATGTCCACCATGATGGGAGCGCTGCCAGAGATGGACGCTGGAGATGCGAGCAGGACACGCAGCACGAATAACAGCTCGGCCGCCGGTGCAGGAGGATCGGCAGAGATCGGGAGAGTTCGGAAACGTACGGCTCCGAGTCCCCGCCCCCCGGAAGTGGAGACATGGTTGACACGAGTTTCAGCTTTCAGGTAGATATTAGCGTCAAAATGCAAACTAATTACTTTTATTTATTTATTTTTTAAAAAGCAGTTTACTGTTATTTTACACACTTTACCTGCCTTGTTAAATTAAAACTAGTAAAATCACAGAAAACAGTATTTATTTACATGTCAACAGCGATAAACGGGCCAATTTATTATTTATTTTAAGGATATATATATTTTTTGTTTCTTTTTTGTATTTAAATCTGCAAAAAAATTGTTATTTTACACATAAACCATTTAAATATTGAAAGACGTTTTTGTTTTACAGAGCCAGGAACAAAGAGTTTGACCTGACAAGCAAAACTCAGGGTAGGAAAGCAACTGACCTTCTGTAACTTTCTTTTTCACATAAACAGTAAATGTTGAGTCCACAAACTGTATATAACTAATACACTGACAAAACAGTCAATCAGTAATAAAAACACAAAACAAAACACAAAACCCCAACCATATTTTCTGTCTAAAAGGCTGGTTATCTGACCTTATGTTAAATTATAAACACTGTTCTCTATTGTAGCTACCTTGAATGTCAGCTGAGCTTCCGTGGTTATTATTTTTATTGCCACAATTTAAATATCACTGATAATAAAGTTCCAATTACACTTTGACCTCAACCCATCAATTGTAAATTAATTGAAAATATTCCTAAATTAGCTCTTGTTTGGACAAACCCCTCCAACAGATGAACTACTACACAGACAAATTATGTCAAATTTACCTAAAGAAAAAATATGAGGAAGTTTGGGAACCCTTTATAAATTATCTAAAAAAACAAAAAAACAAAACTGTATTTAGCAGAAAATCACACTGAAAAATAGTTGAGTAGATTTCATATTAATATTTAAAATATATATGTTAAAAAAGAGACATTTTTCTTAAAGGGGAGCTTCACATCCCAGTTTATAATGTGTTTTGTAGAAAACAGTTTGTTGTCTTGAACAGTCCTGACTGGATACACACTAAGTAATAACCTGCTGTAAACACTGAAGAATAAATGTTGAAAAATTCTCTTGTAATTAAATGTATGTGAAAAGTAAATAAACAAAGGCAATGTTTATGATAAAACCATGTTCTATTCTAAATTTTGACACTAATATTTTCTTTTTTTTGTTTTTACTGCAAACGTCACACTGGTGGATCCCCAGTTTGCAAAACCAACGAGAAGACGCAGCAAAACCAGCAGTCTGAGAAAAAATGACATTTTATTGAATCTGCAGAATCATAAGTACAATTTGAAGTGCTGTAACAGGGCAACAGGAGATGATATCAGGTCCTTAATCTGAGTATGTATTCTGAGTCGTGAATACACGTGTATGTCAATATGCATATGATATTCTTTATTTTTTTTTTATTTAAAAAATAACAAAATTATATCAAAAACAAAAACGATTTAAGATGGAATGCACAAAACTGGTCTGAATGCTAAACCTGCAACTGTGGATTATATGATTTCACTCCGCAAAGTCTACAGTATATAACCAGTATCATAGAAGCAGGGAATGATTCATCAGAAGCGCGGCGGAAGGCTGAAGGGAAAGAAGAGAGGGGGGAACTGCAGCAGGAAGGTGGGCAGGGAGCTCGACAGAAAAACTGAATGGAAGCGGGGTCGTGATATGACGTTCAGTAGTGATGCCAGAGCAGAGGAGCGGTATTTGGCGCAGAGAGGTTAACTCCTGACTAATATCCAGGTCAGACAAACAACTTGCCCTGCCTCACGGGGCTGTGGGGGGGATCCGAGGGCGTCGGGTCGCCTTCTCGTCGCCCGCAGCCTCGCACACTTACATCATCACACGCTTAGATTTGACTTCACCTTAACAAATCCATCCTGAGCCACACTTAAACAACGCTTTGGCCATTTCTTCCCCCCAGACCAACGAGTGGCAAAAAAACCTCAAGATAAAGGAGAGTTTGGATTGCAGAGTAACCGAGTAGCTTTTTAAATTAAATTTGAAGCCAGGAACAACAACAAGCCAAACCGCCAACTCTTTAAGTTTACCCAGGAGAAACACACAACCGATCTCTGTTTTGCAAAATAAACTTGTCCCGTTGTCAAGTAGAGGTCAATGCAAAATGCAGGCAAACATACTGTACAGTGTTCATTCATTCGTTGATGTTGTTTTTCTGATTCTTTTGTCACGATTCATCACATTAGAAAGTTTCATGAACACCAACTTGCACCAAACTTTTTCCATAAGTCGACTTCTTTTAAAAAAAAAAAAAAAAAAAAAAAAATCACATTACTTCCCCACATTCACAAAAAAAAAAAGAAAAAAAAAGAAAGAACCACTTTTATCTGCAGGCAAGCCACTTCCCAGAGCACCATGACCTGTAAAAACATTTGTCCCTAACTTACCTTTTATGATACATATACAATTGTACAATGTCATCTAGCTACATAGTGAGAGCCTTGTTTCATTTGATAAAGCTGAATTTTTTTATCTTTTTATTTTTTTGCCCCACCTGCCCCACCTAAAAACGCCCTGATCGCCCGTGTCTGTGACGGTCACAGTGCATCACAGGAGAATGAAACAGCGAAGGAAACGGGGAAGATGTGTCAGGGGCCGGTTATTATTTACACCACTGAGAAATGGGCTGATATCTTTTAGAGATCCTCGCAGAAACACTGGAGAAAAGAGGCAGCGTTTCTGTGTAAAACCTAGCAACATAAATGCTTAAATTTGTGTTTATGAGCTAACCGTTTCAACATGTAGTAACCAGCATCAGCTAAATCCTGCTAATGCTAATTAGCTGTGGCTTACTTGTTAATGTACAGGTGGAAATTAGTTTGGGATTCGCCTGTCAGATGCTTTTATGGATGTTTTTATGTACAATAAAACTCTCTATGTGGGATTTTAAATGCTATTCTGTAACATTACTCTTCCCTAGACGCTGCAGAATAACGACAAACAGCACGAGAGAGATCAGAAACAGGCTTTAACGACAAGCAGCTAGCTCTGTTTTCCGACTGATCCAATACTGTGACCGCACCATTCTACGCTAATTCCTGTTTTGCTTTTTTTCTCAGTTCGCAAATGTGAGTTGCTGGTTCTTTTTATTCAATACGCTGACATTTTTCTTTTGGAAAACAAACATCCGATAATAACGAGGAAAGCAAAGGAAGAACAGCATGAGAAAAACATTTACCACAGCCAAGGATGCGACGAGTTCTCTCACATTAAATGGAAAAAAAGAAAAAAAAAAAGACAGACTGGAATGTTCTCTCACAAAAACAGTGGAATACATTTAAAATAAAAAGATTCACGATATAGAGTTGTGCTTGGCCTTCTCTTTTATAAATGTGTTTTCTCTGATGGTGATTTTGTTTCATGTTCTTTTCTTTTTTTTCCTTCTCCAAATCGCTTAACCTTGATCACCATTTCTTTGCTCACAGCTGAAGGCATTCAGGCTGCAAAAAACACAAATAAGGGTGCGAATGCTGCAAATCCACACTAAACTGAGGTGGTGAATTCAGTGCGGCTGCGAGAGATTAGACTTATAATGTCCCCTAACTTGTCCCTGATCCCTCCTGCGTCTAAAGGGGCAGGAGGTGCTCTTCAGTTAGGCTACGATTCCAGTTTCACAACAATAACCACACAACGCAGTGCTGAACACGAGAGCGAGATGTGTGTCCATCTATAAATATATTAAAAACCTCTCTGTTAAGACTGATAACCGGCTGATTGATGCAACAGCAAACAGAGTTAGAGGTTAAAGGAATGTACACAAGTCAAAAAGATTCAAGCTTACTTCTGATAAGACTGAGATTCTACACTGTGTTTCCAGTCGGGCTGCGGAAATGAAAGAAACCAAACAGGCCTGTGAAAAATACCAAACTTCCAAACTCATGCTCTCCACAGAACGACATCTGCAGTGTTCACTGACTTGTGGGGATGTTATTTTTAAAATTATTTGTATTTTTTTTATACAGTTTTCTCTATTTTTGTAAGGTGTTGTGTCAGGATTGTTAAGTGCTGTAGCTAGGATGGAGCTGTGTGACACGGCATGACCCCTGACATACTGCGATGAACTGCGAGTTTATCTTTTAAGACTTTCCACCTGCACGAGAGTGGAACCAGGACGTGAGGGAGGGTGGGGAGACGAAGATGGATGACGAACATCCAAACATCAGTACGAACGGACGGACGGACGGACAGAGAAGCAGGCAGACAGACGAGGACAGACAGACGGAGTTAGAGGGTGTCTGTTGGTGGGAGCAGAGCAGGGATGCAGCAGGGAAGGAGTTCAGGGTCTCACAGGACAGATTAGGGAACAAGAGTAAAATTAAGAGAAAGCGGCGTTAAGATGAGATGGCACTGGGCTTTTACTTTCCTTCTTTCCCTCCCTTTTCTCTATCTCCTCCTTTTTCTCTCCCTCATTTTCTTTTCCTCTCCCTCAGATGGCCTCCACGTAGTTGGCGGGCAGCATGCCCTGCTGGCCGGTGCGGTCTACGCGGCCGTACATCCAGCCTTCATCGATCTGCTGCACGTCTACGATCAAGTCTCCGTCCACGAAGGACACCTCGTCCTCGTCGGCGGCGGAGTAGTCGTACACAGCTCTGTACCGCTTCTGTTGAGCAGCAAAAAAAAAAAAAGGAGAAGGAGTTCGGTTAGTTTCCACAAATCAGCTGCTCGGGCGACTAGCTCAGTTAAGAAAGTAGTTTCAGTTATTTTTGATACAACACCATGCTTTACAAACCCACCAGCAGGTTTTGGGGCTCAGGGGGTTAAACATAAAATATAAAAGCGCCATACTTGTAAAAAAGAATGCAACTAATGGCTAATTCATTTCAATCCCTTTTAAGATGTTTTAAAGCTAGAGCTGGCAGCCGTAAATGCTTGATTTTGACTTAATTGCTCATCAAAAAACAATTCAAATTATGGACAAGTGGAACATCCACATCGCCGGAATGTTGTGATAGCAAAGTGCGTCACAACATTCCAGCAGAAATTAAGCACTGTGGCTCTGCAGAGATTTAGCAGCCAACAACCAACAAATGATCTTCTCCAAATGGAAGGGAACATGTGTGTTTACTACAACAGTAAAAATCACAGCCTAATTAAAAAAAAAAATTACCATCCCCAGTAAAAACCCTGACTCATATTGCAATTACAACAATTGCAATCGGACTGTTTTTTTTTGTTTTTTTTTCAAATCATTCAGCCTTGCTGATGACAAATCGATTGATCATTACAGCTCTACTCCTAAATACAAATTTCAAAGATGTTTTTTTGCTTCATGAATGTGGCACTAGCAGTGGGTGATGGAGGACTCACCCCAGCACTGGGAGGCGGGGCAGCGGCCGCCGGACGCACTGGTTCAGGAGCAGGCTCATAGTGGAAGTTCTGAGAGGCTGCAGGCTGCTGGTAAGCTGCTGAGAAAAAGAGTGGTGGGTAAGTTAATTAGCTGAAAAGATACTTTTCTACTAGTCCATCAAAGACACCAAACTAATTGGGAACTAAACAGGAATCTGCTGCAGCAGAAAGCTGCTTTCTTCTATTTTCGGTACAGTTTTTCTGCATGAGTTCTTCCACAGAATGAAGACTTCAAAAACATGACAAGCTGAGACGTGCATCCAGCGGCTCTGTATTTCACTGTTACACAACCTTTTAAACAATGTGTTTCTGTGTCCATGTGCAAACCAGGCATGTGAAATGCAAACAGCTGGTTACTGTACACTGTTTACTTTACAGGTATTACCTGTACTTTGAAATGCACCAACACTTTAAGGAAAGTCCAATTAAAAAAAAACAACAACACATCAAATGTACACAATTTTTAGATATTTCTTTTAAAGGTGAATCCATTGATTTTATAGGTGGGCCAACTTTTTTATTATTCAAGAACCAAAGTAAAAACTCATATATATGTGATATGGTCTAAAGTTAACAGTATATTGCTGTAACTAATATCATAGTAATTTTAATGATAACTTTTGACAAACTATAAAGACCTTGTCCAAATGTATTCCAGTGTGAAGTTCTATGTACAAACTCCACACAGCTTGGTATGATCCAGGTTTGTGCATTTAGAAATCAAACTAGGAGTTTTACAACATTTTTAACAAGACTGTTTTACACAAAATTACAGATACTTTCTGTATTTTTGAAGTACACAAAATACTATGAAAATGACACTGACCCATTAGACTTGCCTCCAAATGGTTCAACTAACATCCTGACCTGACTGATCAAGCTGCTGTTTACTACCTCAGAGTTGATGCTTCTGAGCTTATTCAAACATTTTGTAATAAAACAAACAGTCCCTGGATTTAACCGTTCAATGTCAGATTATGATTTCAGTCACAATTGTAGTCACTCATTTCTGCAACAACGTGGCTATTTATAGCTGAATGGATTCAATGCAAAGGAGGCAAGCAGTGAACAAGTTGCAACTAAAACCCCTGAGAGGTGTGAACCGTGATGAGCTCATGCAGCCTGTGGCAGGGAGGAGGCCAAGCACAGACAAGCCCAGAAACTTAAAGAAAAATGTTCATATACGTGGTGTACTTCTCAAAGAGAACCAGAAAGCTCCAATATGTTTGTTGAAGGGTTCAGGTTGACACAAATCACAAAAACCTATTTTTTCCAACTAAAATAGTGCTACCGTTAATTTCATTTTTTAGAATTCAGTTAAACTAATCATTTAATGTTGTAAGGTGGTGAAGGTGCTTTCTGTAAACATGGCTCTAGTCGCTTTTGAATGTTTCTACTACTTGTATTGCTTTCATCTATGAGGGATGCGGGATGGTAGTAGCATCTTCAAAATGAGCAAATAAAGGCTGTAAAACTAAATATTAACATCAAAACTATCATTAACAAGCAGATGATGCCTTTCAAAATTGTAGAGTTTGTATTTGTCTCATACAGCATCTGCAGTGAAATGCAAAGTGACTGTTCCACAAGGCTGCGCAATAACAACAAGACAGGATAGCAAACATTCCCTAAAATAGAAGAAACAAAAAACAGCCATAAATAATGAATGGAGCGAAGAGACAGTGATCTGATGTGCGGTGTGAATTGGGCAAGAGTTGCAGTTGTATGCATACATTTACATGCTACACACATGTTAGAATTTTTTCTAGTGCACTAAGCTATCAGACTAAAAGTTTGAAAGTGTTACATGAAAATAAATATGGCATGTTTTTACATGTAAGGTGGCGTATTTTCCAATTTGGTCAGTGATGTGTACATTACATCTGCACGACTATGTGTAATAATATGTTAATTCCACTACAGACAAGCCCATGTTCTCTGCAGTTAGGTGGAAAAAGTCTGTCCATTTATCAATACTCAGCCAAAATTAGTTGGTAAATTTTGCATTCCTACAACTCAAGATAACTGTTGCCAAGTGTGCGTGTAATACCTGGGCTGGGGTTGCTTGGCTGATGATGTGGGGCCTCTCCTTTCCTCTTCTCGAACTCCTCATGGTACTTAATCTGCAACAGACAAACAGAGCCAGGCCATAAATAAACATGGAGAGTGCATGCATCCTCGTGTAAGAGCTGCGAATAAATCTCCGTGTGCAGCTTTCTTTTCAGGAAGCTGGCGCTGCGTGTAGCTCCCTTTCTATCCACCAGGGGTCTCCCATTTGCTCTCCAGCATCCCCCGTGTTCCTGGTGATAGGTGGGGCGCGTTACGTGCAGAGAAGGCTCGGGAAGCAGCTTGACACTGAGAGGAAATGACATCTCAGCAGCCGGAAGTAGTGCAAGCGCGGAGTTGCATAGCAACCCTCGTTGACACATCAGGAAGAACAGGTGAAGTGAGAAAAGGAACTAAGTAGAAGCCTGAACAGTGGGGGTGAGAATGAGGCAGCTAGACTCAACAGGAAGGGCAGGAAGAGGAGGAGGGGGGTGTGTATGACTAAGCACACTAAATGTAACCTAAATCATTTACTACAGGCTGAAGTGCAAATGAGCATTTTTAACATTTTCTTTGTAGATTTTTGAACCTGCAAGTCACACGCTGAGGTGTAACTGAACTAAAAATGCACCTAAAATACAGTTTCAGGCTGGTTTCATCCACACACCGCCCCTCCAGCCAGTGTAATAAAAGCAGCGTTCAGTGTCACAACATAAAACAGGCCACACTGAAACTGAAACTGAGTGACTGCTCTATGACTGCACTCAATAACTCATCCCCTCCTTATTACCAGGCTGATAACAGACTGACTCACAGTGCTTTGGTGAGGATTTACAACCCCGATTCTGTCCCCGCTTACACCCGGCCTCAAAGGGCCCACTGTGCTGGCGGCGTCAGCGAGGAGTGTATTCACACGCTGGATGAGATGTCGGAGTGTTTGTGCAGGGACAGTGAGGCGAGTGAGCTGAGAGAGCGCGGTGGCTATTCTCTAGTGCAATATGCTAAGTGAGAGTGTGTGAGGGAGATTATTTTGGTTTGTTTTGAAGGAGCAGGTTGAACAGATGGTGTGTGTGTGTGTGTGTGTGTGGATTTACAGGAAGTTCCCAGACTGCTGCTGAACTAAAGCCCCCCTCCCAGATACTTTATAATCTTTGATATAAACAAGGTGAGGTGAATGGACCAAAAGTCATGAGAGCAAAAAATGAAGAGAGAGGTTACACTGGTTTGTCTCTTAAGCCTTTTTCAGACGTACGTATACAAGATCTGTCTCTTAAAATGATGGCATTCTATCATATATTAGTCACTTTCCCCCCTAATTTTCTTTCCTGCTTCATATATATGTTATATATCTGACATTCACACGAGTCTGGACGGCACAACAACTGATGTATAAATAAACAAAAGACTAAATCTAAACTAACCAAGCTTAGTTTATTTATCATTTCCTAAAGAGCAAAAACAATCTGTCCATGTGTGATCATAATCTAGCTACTATTTTACCAACAGTGAAATAAAATATCCTAACAGCTGTGTTGAAGCTCCAACCTTTGCATCAATTGATTTACCTGCAGCTAATAAACCTCACCTGGCTGAGTATCTCATGACGTTATCAGCGCTGTTGTTCTGTGCTAAATGCACAAATGTTTCACAAACTCTTGCTCTTGAGATGCACACATGGATCCTGCTGTTGTTTCAGGCTGCAGGTATTTGCTATAATCAGAGGAAAGATGTCTACAAACCGCAGGAAGCGACAAACTGAACTTCAGCGGAAGTTCAGGGTTTGCCACAAAAAAGAACCAAAACAAAAATCATCAATGTGAGCTGTTAGTCGCCTTTTCCATCACAGTACAGCTGAATTACTGTGAACATTTATGTTTGCAGCCTTATAGATTTGAAATTTTAGAGCTACGTGATTGAGAAAGGTGTTGTTGTTGATTTTGACACTCAAACTGTGTCATTTGTGCTTTCTGGGATGTTTTCGGAACAACATTGGTGCTGAAATGTAGAAGAAGCCACCTCAAAGTACTGTTGTGCCTCCGTGTTAATGTGTCTGGTCATGTTTAGGCTTGTGCTGTGTTCATAGTAACACGGAAATGTTTGCAACTTTTATGGAAAAGTGACCAGGATGCTCGGAATAATGCAGCAATAAGCGCATGTTTAAAAGGAGATTTTAGTGTCCAGAGCTGAGAACAAAACCAGAGGAGGATTCATCTGGAGTGGTTCCCTTATGACTGGCTGTGAATGACACACTGATTGCAAGCAGATGTCTTGTTTATCAGTTGTGACTAAAAACACTCCACGATGCGCCCGAATCCATCCCAGCATCGTGCACTTGTTATCTTGATGTGGCTTGTGTGTGTTTGCGCCTATAAATACATGTAATATATGTGTTTCTTTCTCTGCCCTGCACATTTCCTTGATCTCAGACATGCAAGATCTTTCATCACATGAAAGCAGTAATTACCCATCACCCTCCACACTAATTATGCCATTAGTGAGGCTGTTGCTGAGCTGGTTATGTATAATGACGTATGTTTTTTTTTTGTGTGTGTGTGCGAGTGTGTTTCTCAGGGAAATAAAGGCCTTTAGCGCAGATGACTTAAGCAGATGGGGGACACAAGGTAAACACAGCATGCGGTTCTACAGCGCTGTGCTGTATTTACAGAGAAAAGGCAAATCGATAGCAGCAGCTGAGGGAGAGGAGAGTGGAGGGGAATGGTCCATGCGGGAAGTGATTCGAGGAGAATTCCATCACTACAAATGAGGGGCGGCGAGAGCAAAGGAAGCCTGACATTTAGTGACGACAGTGACTGAGCAGCAGGATGAAAGGTACATTGAAAAAAAAACACAACAACCCAACAACATGCAAAAGAGCATAAAATTCAAGATCCTAATCTGGCGAAGCTCTCTGAGGCTGGAGATGAAGGGGATGAAACGAGCAAATCTTTAAAAAAAAAAAAAAACAAATCCCCTTCTTCTGGCAGTTTCCACTGGCGACTTTTATTAAGTCTTTAAAAACAGAGCTATCGGTATTAAGCATGACTTGACGACGAGTTAGCTCGAAGCTGCGAAATCAGTAATTCTTAGGCAACCAAAGAGCCCTTTCCAGTGTACTTCATGTAGACCAATTATCCTCCTGAGAACAAAATCCTCAGTTCAATATTGGCAAAGAGATTAAAGCCACATAGAGAAGCTAATCAAGTCGGACCAGACTGGCTGTCAGGAGGCAAACAACGCTGGAGGAGCTTTAAATATTCAGTTTGCTAAGAGTTAAAGAACATAAACAGACACAGGTGATTGTTTGGGTGACACTTACATTGCTGATTTGGTCCTGCGTTTTCTTAAGTCTTTGCAGCTCTGGCGTGTCTGTGACCACGCTGAAACCTCTCCCTTTGTTCTTCTCAAAATCCTCCTTGTAGAGAACCTGCACAAAACAAAACAGGATCGTGTCAGAAACAAAAGAGGAGGTTAAAACATGCAAGGCCAGTAATAGGTGAAATGAATTATGCATTCAGATGAACAGTTTCAATATGTTTGTTTGGGCCAACAAGGAAAATCCAGCAGTGCAAACGATTATTTATAGATGCGCTGACCTAGATTCTTTCAACGTATACGGCTTAGAGAGAAGAAAACTGATGAGTCTTGATATTTTCCTGCTTGTTCGAAATGATCTTATCGCTACTTTCATTTTCAAAGCACCTGTTATATCAGTGTCCACCTTATAAGCACTTGTTCTTGGTTTGGCAAATGGATCAGTCCTGTGTTTTACTGAGATAGGCTGTGGCCTAATAAAATAGTTTTATAGCAGGAGGAGAATGGTTTTAGTGTTGGTTTTATTACAGCTTGACACAGTCAGATGAACCAACATTAAAAAGCTGAAAATGTCACCTCTAGTGAAATTAACTTTGTAATGTTCTTAGTGTTTTGTGTACTGAGGATTTCCGGGACATTTTGGCTGCTATTTACCCTCTAAGACATTTTATCTTTAAATAAATTACCCAAACTGCACCATTTGCCAGAGCAAGAAACCTTAAAACACAAATAATCAGATTTGAAATAATCAAAAAGACCAAATCTAAATGCAATGTTGTGGCATTTCACTGGAATCACTGTATTTTTTTCTTAAACATATATGTATCTCATTGCTGCAAGGTGGAGCGGTGGTTAGCACTGTTGCCTCGTAGCAAGAAGGTCGCTGGTTCGTGTCCCGGTGAGGACACCCGGGATCTTTCTGCGTGGAGTTTACATGTTCTCCCTGTGCAGCGTGGGTTCTCTCCGGGTTCTCCGGCTTCCTCCCACACAGTCCAAAAACATGTTGAGGTTAATTGGTGATTCTAAATTGTCCGTAGGTGTGAATGTGAGTGTGCTTGGTTGTCTGTCTCTAAGTGTAGCCCTGTGATAGACTGGTGACCTGTCCAGGGTGTCCCCTGCCTTCACCCTGAGTCAGCTGGGATAGACTCCAGCCCCCGACAACCCTAGGGAGGATTAAGCGGTGTATAGATAATGATGGATGGATGTATGTATTTAGAAATTCACCAAAAATAAGTTTGCCCTAACTAGATTTGGTAAAAAACGAAACATTCTGTGCTTCCCATCACAAATGAGAAGCTGTTACTGACTGCGACCATTGATCACGGTATAAACATTCAGGTGAACTGCAGGCAGGATACACAAATTAGAGTGGTGGAGAGTAAATAAAGCATATTTGATGCAGAATGGCTAAAACAAAAATGGCATACTGTGGAGCAAGTTGTCAGCAAGTTGTTGGAAGATACATTCAACATAGTGAATTATCTTCTTTGTTTTTATAATTCTGCAAAGGACTAAACTCTTTTTTTCCATGTAGTGCTGTACATTGTGCCCAGTATTGTTAACACTTGTGGGCATTCGGACAATATTCTACATGATGATTCCATTTTTTTTCAACTAGGCAAAATAAATAAATTAATGAAACTTTTGTTGTTCCTGATATTTGGCACTATAGCTTTGTTAACCCGTCTCACTACTTCTAGCCACAATTGTGCTGCTTCCAGGAGGAACAGAATCTCATATTGTGTCAGAAGCAACCACCATGAACCATTTCATTGTACTGGATTAGTTATATTTGTCACTATAAAGCAGAAGTTTGATTACAGTAAACCAAACGTGGTTGTGACATCTTCAGCAAAGCTTTGACTTCTGCTACTGAAATATTATTTTTTTTATGCATGAAGTGTAGCTGAAGTAACCTGTGTGTGTGTGTGTTGTGTGTGTAAGTGAGCTGGTTCCTGCATACATTGCTTAGTCTTTTGTGGTGACGTTAACATCCTGTTTGCTTGGGAGTGACGACGTTACACACAGGACATGGCAGCAGCCTTATATGGTCAAAATGAGAGGTAGTGTGTGACGAACAGGGTCAGCTTGTGTGTTTGTGTTTTTCCTGCCTACCCACCCGATTCTGACCCTGAGGGCAGGAGGAGGAAATGTCCAGCCCATACAATGTCAGATGGCTATCAGAAATTACAAAGCACTGAGCTCTCCTTCACTGCTGCCCTGTGGGCGAATCTCGAGTATTCAAACCCACGACCACAAACGGCGCTGTACAAACCTGAAACTGGCAGGTTTTACTGTTGAACCAAAGGAACTGTTACACTATCCGTCTGATCTTTTTTTTTTCACAGAGTAAGGCAGCAAGAATTAGTGCTGAAAATGTGTTTCAAATCAATGCGCCATTTTTTGATGTAATAACTTATTCAAACCAATTTTGAAGTATCACTAAGGAATTATTGCATCCTGACCTCAATCAATTTTGCTCCAGTCACTGATGTACAGTTTTAAATATCGGCAGTGGCAGCAGCTTACCACTCAGTTCAGGCTGAAAGTTTTAAAAGGCACAAGGCCTTAAAAGTACTTTAAACGATCACAGAACGAGCAGGTGGTTTGTATTCTGTGCAAAGATATTCGGATTTCAAATTTGATATCCCGATTCCAGCACAGTGAACGAATAGTCGGCTATTTGGGTCCAGCCCTATACGCCACTGAGACATAAGATCGTGGTCCTAGTCCACTACAGCTTGTCTTATACACATGAGCTCTAGCTGGAGGTCATTAAGCGTCGCAGAAATCTTTGTCATAGTGCCCATTGCTAGCTAAACCCCCACAATAATCTCTGGTTGCCAACAGGAAACTGCCAGTACTTGAAGTGACCGTCTTCTTTGGTCGCTAAAACAGTAAGAGGCTCCACCTGTTGGAACAACCAGGTAATACAGCCACTCTACAATACATTTATTAAAATGTATGTAGACAAATCAGATTCCTGACCACCGACATAACATTAAGGAACAGTTCAGAGACAGAAACGCTTTAAAAAAAAAAAAAAAAAAAAAGTACTCAAAGTGGGTATTATTTCGGAAAATAATTTATAAGATTGGGACGACATAGGAAATATTAAAATACTCACACCGGATTGAGGGCATAAACAAAATTTGATCGGGACATCCCTAGATCAGTCATAGGTGGTCTCCTGGAAAATGTCAGAACAGGCGAAACCACTGCAAGTGTTGTCTGTTTATTAGTAGGGAGTGCTTTATAATTTTTTTTCACCCTTGTAGCTGCTAATGCTACAAGCTAAATGCTAACAATGCAATGTTTAGGTCAGAACCCAGGATTACTCTACTTTGGTCAGCGCTGGGGGTTTGGCGACATGCATGGATTTTATTTCTGCCATGGACTTAACACATTTCTTGAGCATCCTTTGTTTACATATCGTTTTGTGACATGGCACACAGCTGGCAAAAATAAAATGCACTAAAATGAAATGGTCAGTTTGACATTTAGGAGACAAACTGCTCACAGATTAATCGATACAAAAATAGTCATTTGCGGCAGCCTTCGCACAGAGACGTTTCAATTCCACCTCCCCGCACCGAGCTTTTGCTCTTGCCTCCATGGCGACTGCCCCAATTTCCTGCACTCGTCCAAGAATGGGTCCTGCCTGTCTGCACAGTCCATTCCCAGGAAACAAAAGCTCCATCCCTGCATCCTCTCCCCCAGACGTCCACCTAATGTCTGACACCGCCCAGCAGAGTGCTGACCAATCCTCCTCTCGCCTCATCGTGATCGCAGCTAATGCGTACGTATGCGACGCGCCATGTTACGTCCATATCGGCTGTCACCCCTGGCCTGACGTCCACTGAGAAACTGAGAGAAAACTGTAGCTGATCCTCATTCCACGGGAAATTATACGCAGCTTTCAAGCCTGCGCACAAAGATAAGTCACAAGAAGATTAATGTGGCCTCGACCCATCTTTGTCCTTCAGTCCTCACGCCGCTCTGCTCAGTCAACATATGATCCTCCTCCCTGTATTTTTTTATTTCTCAAGCCCATCTCCTTTGTCTTTTGGGGTCTGTGCAACAGCTTCTCCTCCTCCAATCATCATTCTGCTTTCATTCCCCACCCACACTCCTTTTTTCTCTGTGCTCCTTTTTCATTCATTCATATTTTACTGCTCCAACAGCGACAGACAAGTCATCCTCACAGAGCTGGAGCTTTTCCTCATTATAATCTTTCTCTCTGCTTCTATTTGCATTCCTCTAGCCTTCTTTCCTCTTGGGGATTTCACTGTTATCTCTTCCTCTTTCACGCTGCACTCCTCCCTCTTTCTGTATTGGTGCCTTCCTGTCTCTCGCCTTTTTTTTTTTTTTTTTAATTTTTTGTTGCCTTGCTCATGTGCGCCTCAATGCTCTCCCTCTCCTCCTCCCCAATTCGTTCACTCTGGTTTCTTTATTTCTCCCTTTCTATGTCTTGTTTCTCTCTGTTTCCCCCTGCAAAGTCTTGTAATGAGGTGTGACAAACATCTACCCTGCTACCATAGCAATAGGGTTCCCGTAGCAACGCAGCGGCAGCGACGGTGGCGGTGGGGGTTAGATGTCCACAGTTCTCCAACAACACCTTAAACTTTTTTTACACAGAAGCAACCTGTGGCATTTTACTACTCTAATATAAACTACATATGTGGGAGTAGTGTGCATTTAGGTCAGTTTTTTAAAGATAAATCTAATTTTTAGCTACTTTAAAATGTCATTTGAAGCTTGAACATTCTGGAGTTTATAGAAAGTTGTATAAAAATGACTTCTTCTTTAGGAAGATCCTGTTTACTTTAGTCCTGTGAACTCCAAAGGCACGACACCATTTAACTGAGACAAAAACTGGAAAGAAAAAAAACAGGAAGAACGGCTGGATTGTCAGCTTTCAGATAGTCTCTGAACACACTGCGTTCAACTTTTGATTCCATCTGAAAAATCAACCAAATCTAAAGTTACAATTTTAATACAGCATTTAATCAAAAATCAACATAATCTACATGTCTCATTTAAAAAATCAGCTAAAATAAACCTTTTGCACCAAGCAGATTCTGTAAAAAACTAAAAATTCTGTCCTCTTTGGCGCAACTGAGAAGCTATGACTGACTCAGCTGCTACCAACAGTTATGTAATAAAAATTCAGGGAGTTTTCGGGTGAACTGGGATGAACTGTAGGCTGTGTTCACACAGAGCAGAGAGAGGACAAGTTTCGAAGCACATTAAAAATTGATTTAGTAAAATATCTCTACTATGTAGAGCCAACATTTTTTTCTCCCCGTGTTAGTAACACTTGTGAGGACTTGTAAAAATGTTGTACACGTTGATTCCATTTTCTCCCCCTATTTTTGCTCAATAAATAATCAACCTTTTTTTTCCTTAGTTGTGCTGTTTCAATAGAGGTCAGTGACTGTATGTTGTGGTGAAAACTGAGCCTACACCCAGAAACTACTTCACAGGGTTAAACTGTGCTCTCTTGCTGAAAGGAACTTTTTCATCATAAATCATTGTAGACAAATCTACTTCCGGGAAAAGCTTTGGGGGATTTTTCTTTGGGAAATCTTAATTTCCTGTCCACTGTGTCATTACACAACCGCTACGGAGAAGAGAAAGACGTTTCACCATTACACATAAACATCTTTAGTGTGTTATAATCTGATTCCTATAGCTATTATAGAACATTAGTGTAATGTCTCTTGGAGAAGAGTGTTTGTGGGGCTTTGTTTGGATGCGCAATCCATGTAGAAAAACACCATCTGTCCCTCCATCCCTCAGTTATCCCCCTCCCCGTATGACCATTGTCCCCACCCACAAAACCCCTTCTTACATACACTTCACCGTCTCATCTGCGGTGTTTGACAGTGAAATTGGGATAAGTTGATTCACATTCTTTAATAAGCTCTGCCTCCTCTCTGCACAACACTCTCTTCTCTGCTACATGCTGGGGATAAAAGCCTCTGTCAGTTTTTTTCCTTGCCGATGCTTTCCCATTTTCTTTCTCAGAAGTCCACATACACAATCTCGCATTGTTTTTTTTGTGAATAAGGAGCTTGAAATTCCATTTTTGTGCACTTTTGCAATAAATGTGTCACTAATCTGTGGTTATTTTAATGACCACATTCATGGACAAGTTCCTAGAAATTAGAACATAGCCCACACATCACAGGATGAATAAGAGAAGTGAAATATCACACGACAGCCTTAAAGCTTGTTGGCCGCCTGTTACAGGTTTGCCACTATAAATAACATTTTGTACCCATTGTAGGCGTGATTCATCATCTTTTTATTTAACTACAGGCAGACAAAGTGGAAAAACATTGTTCAAACCCTGACTCTCCATCAGAGCCATTCTTATTAAGGCGATAACACATGACCCAGTTCAGATGGATATTTTGGTCATTGAGGTTTTTTTTTTTTTTTTTTTAAACCTTAGAATATATTTGGGTCTTTTTAATTTTAGCTCCTGCAGGAACAGTTGTAATAGTGCTCTCTGTGGTTACAAATCAGACACGGGAAGAAAAATAGGTGCAGAGATAAATTTGGGCACTACTGCAAAAAAGATGTAGAGCAACAAATATGCAGAGATGAACAGCGCGTCACGCAGCGGCGGTGGTACATTATTCCCACGTTAACATAGTAGGGTATAAAAAGTACCACATTTATGAGGCCGTAATCCAGTTTGCAGCCATCATAAATAGCGTACAAATGCCTGTCTTGTACACTAACGGCAGCAGTGTGGAACAGGAAGGTTGTTCCGGGAGGTAAGTGTAATGGTTCAACAAAGGCTGTATTCTCTACGTCCTATTCTGGAGTGTGTCCATAAACAAACCCTAATAAAGTCACACTGAGGGCATACCTTCCTATTTCTGATGAAAACACCTACACAGATCGGATAAGGACCTTTCTTCCCCCCCCCCAGTTCCCACAAATATATTATTAAAGCAGCATGGTCAAGTTTAGCTTCCATGAAAAACATCCCATTTGTTCCTGACTGAAATGGACCGAGTTGTGGTATAAGGAGAGTTCTTTTCTTCTGAAAGTTAAGATAAATGGGCTTAAATTCATTCTAAAAGACAATAATGCTGCAAAGCCTTCTAGCGTAACAAGTATTTTTCCAGATAAAAGGAAGTGGAATTTGTTGGAAAACAGATTGAAGCACGGTCCCAGTTCGAGAGTTCCAAAGAGTGCTATTTTTAAACATCACTGAAGAAGTGTTACTATTCTAGTTTTGGGGAAAAACCTTTTTTTTGCTACACCGGTTTTTCTTCTCTCTCTCTCTCCATACCTCTCTATTTGTCACACTACGGCATGACTGTGGCCATCCCAGCCTCAAGTCTCTTACTTGTCCTGTATGAATCAATTTCATGCTTGACTTCTCAGGTCTGTCTCAGAGCTGACAGCATGCAGATGGATGTTCACACAGAATTAGAGCGATTATCCCAAAGAAGGCTGTGTGAAAGTCTTTCCTCCGGGATCGATTTTTAGGGTTAACTATCGGGTTATTCATTCCATCTCAAATCACCAGAGGCTTTCTGCTTGACCATCTCTAAAAAATTTGCTCGAAACTTTTAAATTATAAACTATGGAGAACTAAAATGATATCTGTGAAATCTGATATTGATAGTACTTTACAATATTTTTGTTGACCCACCTTCAACATGCTTTTTCGCACATGGAAATTTGAGGCTGTTTGAACCCCAATATCTCAGGAACTCTTCAAGATAAAAGCTTGAAATTTTTACTGTTATTTCTTGTTGTGTCATATAAAAAAAATCTTATTCGTAATATTTGGAGAACAATTCAAAACCCCACAACTCTGGTCTACTTGGATTAGAGCTATACATTTGTTTTATGTGGTTGATCTGATCATACCTCCTCGATCAGCTATAGAATTCAGCAAAAAAATACTTTACTTTTATTTTTGCGACCCAGTACTTCATATAAAAAAGTATTTCATATGTTTTGTTATTATTGTGACATGCAGCTACATATGAATCAGATAATATCCCTGGGAGATGTCTGTTATGTCAATTATTTTTTGATAATACGTGCTCAAAGATGTACGATTTCATGATGGTTTTAGTTTTATTTACTCACCCACATGCAGAGACTGTTTGATCTACTTGTCTAATATTGCAGATTCTGAATCGATGACATGATGAGAAATTACAGTGAAATGAGATATCGTCGTTACAACAGCCTCAAATTTTACTGTCCGGGAAAACATGCTGAAAGTGGGTCGAGGGGCAATTTTTTAAAAGATTATCTAATACAAGTACTTGATATATTAAGCTACAATTTTACATGCGTCTTATATAAATATCAACATTTTATGCAATAAAAATCTCAAGCAATATGGAGATGGTTGATGATGATTTGAGTGGGAACTACCCTGTTGTTATGCTGTTCAGATTTATCTTTTCAGTGCCTCCTTTGTGGAAAAATGCCAAAGACGTGAAATACAAGGTGTGCGTTTCCCAGCTGGAGTTTGGTTTAGCAATTATTACTGTGGGTATAAACTGGCACAAAGAGTTACCGTGCTCTGTATCTTGCTCTGCTGTTTGAGGCGGAGGTTCTCTGGAGTGTCAGCCACAGCGGTGAAGTTTGTCTTGGGGTAGTGTCTGCAAAGTAAACACAGAGAACAGCAGACGTCGTAAATGCACAGCAAACACGCAGGCAGCTTCCAGTCAGACTCTCATTGTGACGCTCAAGCCAAGACTCTACGAGAAAAACAGCATAACTCAAGCAGTGTGCAGTCTGTGGCCCCACTGTGGGGGCATTTGTTATTCAAGGTGGTCCTGAGGTTGAGTTAGGAGCCCCTGTAGACAAAAGGCATGTCAGTATAACACACAGCGCTCTGTCAGTGAGAGCCGAGGTAGTCTGAAAAAAGAGGAAGTGCAGGCAGGGGCCGTGTGGGGGGTAACAAGAACCTCGAGGTTGCAGAGTTTGGATTGGAGCCACAGCAGGTGTGGAAAAACAGGCACACATATATGCATATACACTCGCAGTCCTATGGAGATAACAGGAAGAACGACGACGGGGTCATAGAGACACTGGGTGAGACTGTGATGTCATGGGCAGCCCCGCTTCAGCAGAGCATAAAGGCGAGCCTTTTTTTTTTTTTCCCTCAATGGATTCTGGGAATTTTCTCAGCAGCCTCAGATCCACTCGACCTCTTCTCGCTCAGGAGAATAATGCTCTGTCTGGAACAAATATAACAAATACAAATATAGTCCGGTAACCATAAACACGCAGCTTCCATGCAGACATGCAGCATCATTCCAGAAGCCATTCATCACAGGCTTAGTTATTGATCGGCTGAACCACTATCAGTGGCGAGGGTGTGCGAGGCATAAGTCTGTGTTTTTACACACTCGGGGCTTTTGTGCAAAAGTAGCCGGCAGGTCCACAAATAATGCTGCCTGCCAGTTCAGTGTGGTCCTGAAGGCAGCAAATTCACATGGCACAAGTCCAGACCAGTATCTAACGCTCATATGGACTGCATTTCCCAGCCTGCCTCAGGGTGCCGGGTGACCTCAAAAATTTTTTAACCACTATCCGTGCCTCTGGGTAACCCACATAGGCAATATGTTTACCATTTCCTTGACAACATGGTAAACAAACTGAATTCATGAGCATTCGTCCTGATGTGACTATAGGATGTTAAAAATTAACCAAGAGCTGACGGATTGTACATTAAGTGTGGTTGAATTAAAGATACACGAGTTACTGTGAAAAAACCCTGAGCATAATTTTAGGCAGCAGGAAGTGGAAAATCAATGCTGTCAGATCTGAACAAGAGCAGAAGTTGACTGAAGTTCAAACTCTGTAACAGAAAAAACTGTAACACTTGTTCTGTTTCTGCATCCATCTGTGCGCACTGACACTGGCCTTTCACACCTGCTAATACTCATTTTCTTGCAGCCACTTTTATCTGCAATATTCAGATGTAGTGGTTTGGTATGTTAGCAACATAATCCAGCGATGCAAATGAAAGTACGCTTTCATTGTTGTGTGATATCTAATCATAGGGGCAAAGAAACGCTTCCCGACAGAGACACGCTCGGTTTTTATTTGTTCATCATGTGTGAGTCACACTTGCTAATGCTGAATGCAAATATTCTGTCCGTTGTATGTTAAATGAGGGCTGAACGAGGCTGTGGTCGAATGCTTTCAGTTTCCATTCACCAAGAGCGTTACTGAGTCCTAATCTTTATGAAATACTTTTGAGAATCCATCCATTTACGGCAGTCGGGCCAATTAACCCTACTGAACCCCCAAAACCCACAGGCAGGGTTGAAACAAATGTTTGTTCTGTGTAATCATCAAAATCTGTTCTGTTCGTGTGTGAGACTTGTCATAAAAGGGAACTTAACCTAAGCTTAAAAATCATGATGTTTCACCAAAAATCACTTTGTTCTGTATTTAAGAATTAGCACTAACAAGACTGAAGAAAATCCAGAGACTTTTTGTTTAAACTGGGCTGAACTGCAGGCTGTGTTTACACAGATCACAGATGTGCAGCACATACATCATCCACATCACTTTATTCTACACGTCACACATAAAATTTGCCAGAAATAAACCACTCACACTAACCTAATAATGTAGCAAGAAAAACAAATAATTCAAGAAGCTATGTATGACTTAGCTGTGACCAAAAGTTACGGGACAAAGATTCATTTTGGCCGCAGGCTGTGTTTACACAGAGCCACCAGAAGACAAGTATGGAAATTTTTTTTAAATGTCTGTAGTAAAATATCTATAATATGGAAAGCAGACATTTTTCCAGTAACACCTGTGAGGACTTAAATGTTATACAAGTTGATTCCAGGTCTTATAAAGAAATTCAACTTTTTTCTTTTCTGTGATTTATGGCATTATGCCGTCAGAAGACTGCACAAAAAACAATTTGAGTTTTCTCTACTTGTAGCCATGTTGATACCGTTTCCATACATTCCAGACATTTTATCGCAGCAACAAAATGATCCCCACAGTGAGTAAAAATGTAGCAAAAAATGCCGAGAAACTACGTAGAGTTCAGAGACGTACTCATGACTGGCAGTTTTTGAAGACCATATCTGCATAGAGACCATCCCAAAATAAGAAAAATCAATCTAAACAAGCTCGGATTTAATAGATTTTACACATAGCCTGTAGTCTATTTTACCAGCAACGTATCTCCTTTTTTGTCCAGGGATATGTCTCCTGATCAGAGCTGGAAAAATAATATCTGTTCTTTTTTTCTCTGGAGCTGGGTGTGCCTGCTTTGTGGTGGAACACCCTTCCCTTCACGGAGCATCACTGTGCCTAAAATCCCCCACTTGTCTGAAGAAGAGGGTGTGTAGCCTGAACACACACAGTCACAATCAGCATCTGTGTTAACATCTTCAATACGCCTTTAGAAACTGTCTGTTGCACTTAAGGGTCAGCGAATTGCTGCGCAAACATACGAGAGGGTTGCAGATGTAAGCTCAGTGACTCAGTGAGATCTTGTAATGTGCTTCACAGTGTGTGTGTGTGCGTGTGTGTGTGCAGCTTTGCTCGTGTTTTTGTGCCTGTTTGAGGGTATGAGTGAGTCACAAGAACACTCATCTATCTGTCAGGTTGTATAACAAGGTAATAAGTCGCAGACGGGAGAGGGTGACACATGCACAAATGCTAAAGAGGGAGTGATCAAAATGGAAGGGAGGTGCAACTGGGGGAGTCAGGAGGCCACGCATGTGTAATCACACACACACAACCACACACAAGCTGCCTACTGTGCAGGAGGAGAGGCCTGTTTGGAGTGTGGGACCAGGAGACGGTGTGGTCAGCTTGACCCCGTGAGACCTGGAAAGGTTGTAATGCATCATTCAGCAGGAATATTTCATTACAATGTACATATCATACTATTCATCCAGATAAATGGTCGACCGAGGAGCAGCTTGCTGTGAAATCCGGACAGAAGATTCATTAAAACATACACTGAAAACAAAATAAAAGCTTTTTTAAAAACAGGTTTCATCCATAGTTGTTTGAACAATAAACAAATGAACAGATGATAACTCGTAGAAGTCACAGAAACATAAATTGACACAACTGCAAAAATAGACCAAAACTGTAAATAATGTCCATATCATATTCATTTTTGGTCATTCTTGTACAACGTTTGATGGTACTGTATTTGAATCAGAAACAAATTATTGGGATTTTACTGGAATTCGCTGTTATTTGAAAGAAAAATTGTGTATATTCAAGATTGAGTAAATGCAAAAAAATTTGGCTGTTACCTCACAAATTTTCTGTTTTGTTAAAAAAAACACGATAACTAGTAAAATCAAAGAAAGCATCAACTGACATCATGAAAAATGGTAGAAAATAACAGGCTAAATTGCAAACACTGTCTAACTCAAAAACTTGTATTTTTCCAAGTAGTAATTGGTTCATTTACAATGTGTGACCATATTTACATCAGATAAAATATCATTATTTCACAGACATGCCATTATTATTGCCCATTTTGCCATGTTTTAAAGTCACAATATTCTACCATTTATACCGCTTTTTCTGGCATTTTACTTTTTTTCCCCTCCCACAGTATACTTGGTAGAATCAGCATTAAAGAAAGAAAAGCTGGCAAACAACAGCAGGAAAACTCTGCTGTCCAGGACCGGGACTGTTTTGCTGGCATGAAGGGACCTGCACGACATTATGCAGGCGGTTTTAATGTTGTGGCTGTGCAGCATATATCAGTCCAATTGACATTTCGCTGACCAGACCTCTCAGTCAGTGACCTTTCAATGAAGTTGGAATGAATATATCAATAAAGACAGCACTGTCATGCCACCATGCGTAAGTGGTTTCAATCCTGACGTGAGTGAAGTCCATGATTAATTGCTACACAATTAATTGCCGTAAATGTCGATTAAAAGTATGTTACCATGTAAGGCTGAGGGACATGCAGTTTATTCTGATACGAAACTGCTGTAAAGAGATTAATAACATTACAAGTTTGTTGTGTTTGGATTTTGAATGAAGTCACTATTTTGTTGCTATTTAATTTATACTTTAGTAACCTGGTGTTCACTTAATCTTGAAAATCTTAAATTAACAGAGCAGACTTTGTGGTGAGTCAGTGGTTAAATATAGTTTTATCAGCATGTGGAGGAAAGTCCACGGTTATAGATTGTTAACAAGGCTGACTATCAGTTAAGGAGGTTGTTTAAAATCTGCATCCTTAATCCTACATGGTTGTTTATTAACAACATTTGATTCAAGATGCAGTCATATGGAAAGAAACTAGGAGGCACTGTAAATGATAACGCTAAATGAGGACATTTGTGACTGATTAAACCAACATCACAGTCCCAGTCATTGGGGCAGTGTCCCACCATTTGAGTTTATAGCTTCCGGTGGAATCTGCCCTCCTAAACCTCCCACAACCCAACGTGACTACTGCATCCAAGCAGGGATGAGATTCTCAGGGAAGAGTTTTGGAGGAAAGCGAGCGAAAACAAACAACCCTTATATCAATTACTAAGGACAAATAAAGAGGAGTAATGATGGAGTAGTTATCACACGGAATAATAACAGAGAGCATAGCCTGCATTCTTATTCCTGAAGCAGGAGGCTCTTCCACTGATGATGTTTACTCGAACAAGGCTCGTTTTAAACATACGGGAAGAGGCATAATAAACAGGCTCTGATGGGCCTGGCTCCCTCGTGGAGGGAACATCGGAAGCAGGAAAGGGAAAAGAAGAAGCCACTTTAGTCTGTGGTGAACAGAAGTGATGGTGGGACGGCACAATTAATCGAGTAATAGTCATGAATCATGATCACAATTTTAGCTTCTACAGTTAAATGAACAGCATGGACTGGGATACTGACTTTTAAAATGCATGCTCTGCACATAGAAACCACCTTGTGTAGATAATAAACATTATCAACTTGGGTAAGTGTGACATAATAAAGGCTCTTTATAAAATGTGTTTTGTTCACCTAACTGAGTTGCAGGCACAGTGAGGGGAATAGAAGCTTCTTAGCTGCCTAGCTAGCTTTTACCGCAGCCTGCATGCGAGGCGTTTAGGGAACATCTGCAAATTGTAGTGTTTATCGATGAGCAGAGGTTCAGCAGAGTGAAGCACAATTATTTTGAAATATTGTCTGTAGGAAATACACTAAATTCAAGTGAAGAAGTGAAAGTGAAGTGTTATTTTATATATTTTTTTTAATGCAAAGCAAAGACTTGGACATTAGAACAAATGTAGCACAACATGCAAGTAAAAGCAGTTCTTCAAATGTGAAAATGCATTTACAAACTCTATAATTGATCAAACAGTATTGGCAATTTATATTTTGGCCACAGATGCAGCTGCTAGCTTACAACTTTATCTAAATGTGAATGGTGAAAAGTGAAGGATTTCTAGAGTTAAAACATTAAATCTACAAAGCTGATTTTAGGAAAGAGATGTTGACTACTAAATATGAAATGTCCATCTATCATCATGTAATATAAGCTTAGAATTCGGCCTCCACATAGGTGTTCTCACCTGTGTCGCAGGTGTCACTTGGGCTCAACCGTAACAACTGACAACAGCAGTGAGGGTGAAGCATGGGTGCAAGGTTTTAATTATTAAGTTTAAAGTACAAGGACAAAACGATTGCTGGCATGTCACAGTAAGAAAAGCACAGGTATATTTTACAACATTATTGGTGGACCAGTTCCCTTTAGTTGTTTCAGTTTCAGGGTTTTGGGATTTTGTGTCTGCTACCTCCCTCTCACAGCTTTCTGGAACACTGTGAGCCCGTATTTTGTTATCACTTGCAACAACTGTCTGTAGTAAAAAAAAAAAAAAAAGAAGCCCTTCGCATTCGTTTCCACCTTACATGTAAGTACAGGTGCACATTCTCACCTTCAAACAGATCAACCCTTTGTTTAACCGAGGGATTATTTGCATTTACGGAGGTTTTGCTTCTCACATCTAGCGGTTCTTTTCTGGGTTTTTTTTTTGGCTTTCTCAGGTTTAATCGCAGCCTTTCATGGAGCAAGAAGTGCTCCAATTTCAGATAAAATGCACTGTTTTCCTGAAAAGTGTGACTCAGCTTCATGAATATGAAGAAAAGAGCAAGTAATTTAAGGAGAAATGGGGAAGCTCTTGGGTTTCCTGGTAACTTAAAAAAAAAAACTCACACTAAACTGCAAGCACCTGTACTGCAACAACACACAACAAAAACAATTCAGCTGCCAAATTTGAATGAAAAGTGAGACAACAAAATTGCTTGGTGTTCTGACTGATTCGATCTTTAATCCCAGCTACAAGCAGGGAAAATGGATGCTTGATCCAGACATATGGACTAGTAAATAATATGGGCCTTGAAAATGTTCCTTACCCAAACAACAGCTAGTTTTTCCTGATCTAGCACAAGGAGACAAAATAGAGCTTCATGTTACTGACTTGTCTCTGGTACTAATCATGAAGGAAGCCAATCCTGTAGAAAACAGCTGGCTGCAAACTATCACAGGGCCACGGAGTTCTCAAGATGAAAACAGTGCTGTTAAAATACTAAAATTATGACTTGGATACAATGCCAATACGGAAACGACACCATATCAACAACTTAAATTATAAAACACAGATACACAGGGAAATATTACAGAACATGAAACTATTTCGACAGTGTCAATGCAAAGCAGTGGAAGATGTGGAAAGAAGCCATAAAACGACAACAGGTGTGACTTATTGTCGCGCAGTGTGTTCATACATTTTCATATTCAATCAGACATGGATGAACTCTTCATTATGATCAGCTCTTTACATGTCCGTCCACACTGCTGCCAATAAAAAGGTGAAACCCTTGTGGAGACAAGCGGGAGCAGTACTTCAGTGCACATTTTTACCAGCCATTTTCACCCTTTTGGCAAGAATTCAGTTGAACTAGTGTTGATCTTCATGCTTGTAAGCGCCTGATTTTTAGCAGCTTGCAGTGGTGCGAATGCTGTGTTTGAATATGGAAATGTCTGCTATACTGGTAGGGTAGCTGTAAAAATAAAGGCAATTTCTGACTGCACTTAATTGTCTTGTCAAACTCTGATGGTTCAGTGAGTTTGCCTGTCAGAACCTACAGCTAGTCTGTCGCCGTTTGAAACCTTTGAACAAGTCAGCATGCCTGTCGATGAGATGCTTTGCCAAGTTGGACGTGTTAGCTCCCTCAGTCGAGGTTTAACACATCTTTTACTGTGAGGCTTTGAGGTGTCTGTGGGCTCACTGTGACTGTTGGCTGTAAGTGAAAAAATGCCAAATTTGGCTTTGATGACACTGGTTCTTTCTCTTTCTCTTCCTGTAGTCACTCTGTGGTCTTAGCAATGTCCTGCCCATAGCTCCATCTGACTGGTTACACGTCACGAGTAACAGCCAATCACTTAAAGCTGTTGTTTACACAGAGGGACAGATGAGCACATTAGCAGAAAATTGACTTCTTTTACAGTGGCAAGGGCTAAGCTAACAGCTAGCACCTAAGCTAGGAGGCAGCCACAGATTATCCTGAAACAGCGTCTGGAAAATAATAGCAAACATTGCCTTAAGATCCGGACCTTAGTGGGCAATGAAAGTGGCAGAATAGCAAAATATTAACAAAACAGAAGACCTAACTGCAGGAGGCAAGCTCAATAAATCGATCTCACAGTACACAGAGGAGAGCATCGTAGCACCACGTGACATTCTGACGTCATGACTCGTATCTACTGTACATAATCAGTGATGGCAATCCTTATGTAAATCAGGTCCAAATATCAGTTGTCGGTCTTCTTGATTACCAATAATCAGCCCTGAAAAATAAACAATGGTTGATCCCTAGTAAACAGTAGGCAAGAGCAGTTGTTTTTGCAGCCATGCCTCTTGTTTTGCCACCATGATAGCTGCATCATGCTTGTGCAAAAAGCCAAACAGCGACTAGCACATCCACTATGCCGACAGAGTAAAAGCAGAGCTCTGGAAATACAAACAGCTTGTATGAAATCACTTCTTTAAGTAACTTTACGAACAAAGTGGGGAATAGCATCGTTTCTAATGACAGGGTGTTGCGGTATCTTTCAATGATCACATGCAACACTAGTTAAAAATGACAATCCTAGCATGCCGTCTTGACTTATTTCTCTGGCAATAAAATGGCAGTTCAGCAAAAGAGCTTGTCTGAACACGATGCCTTCCGTCTGCATTCCCTCTCAGAACATGCGCTTACTGTCCCAACTCTGACAAACACGCTCACGGAGGAGAAAATCATTATAAGTAACGAGAGAGGGGGATTCCATGGATTCCTGATGAGCCTTTAGTGAGCGAGTATGTGCTGAAGCGTGAGTGGACATGCTAGTTTTCAGAGTGTTCGCCTGTGTCACTGTAGAGGAACTTCAGGAATTTCCTTTGTTGATACCCCCCCTTTTCCCCACTGAGGAGGAGGAGGGAGGCACTTTCCCACACCACATATAGGCCTTTTCTCTGAGGGGGGGGAGGAAGCTGGAATAGTCACAGATAAACAGCCCAGGAGGGAGAAAGGGGCCATAGCTGGGTTGCAGCATGCACAATCACACTTAGAGAGTCCTATTTCAGGCTGTGGACAGATTAAACACTGCTGTCAGTGTCTTTGGGATGCAGGATGAGGATAAAACACGAGACAGGCTCGCTGACAAACACAAAATGATGACTTAGGGATGACTTACGCATTGCAGTATGGTCTCTTCTCGAAGCCTTTGTAATTCTTCATGTTTAGAGTCATTTTGCAGACCTCGCAGCTGAAGCATCCTTTATGCCAATACTGTCAGAAACACAGAGGACATTGCAAGTTTAGGGAGAGGAAAATATGTGGCATTTGTTGAACTTTACCTGCACACCAGACACAAAAACAACATGCACAAGAGTTGAATGAGTAAGGCCGCAACTACTTTTTATGAACACGGTGACTGTTAGGACTGGGTGAAGGGCAAGTGAAGCAATGCAGTTTGTGCACGCTGGCGCTGAACAGTTACACAGAAACCAACTTCCCCTTTGCTAGCAAATTGTACGGTGACTATTTATAAGTAGACTGCTGCACTGGTGTGAGTGGGAAAGTTGGTGATAGACGAGATTTTATCTTCCTTTCCATCTCTATTCTCATTCATTTTCACACCTTGGGTGTTAAGTTTGGTTTGTTTTCTATATATACACAATAACAGATGTGCTGCCCTTTGGCTTTCTTTCTGTCTATCTGTCTGTTCATCTTTGTATGTTTATGTAGCTCCTCCATCCATCTTCATATGAAACTGTGTCTATCTCAGTCGCCACCCTTTCTCCCTTCCTCCCACCCACTCGCCCTCCTTCCCCTTCGCTCTCCTGGCACTGGGTTGATCTGTGGCCTGAGGGTTCAAAGAGGGATTGAGGGAGGGAGGATTGGAGGAAACATGAAAGGAAGGAGCTGGAGAAAGCAAGAGGAAGGGAGCAAGCAAAAGGGGAGGGTGGGCAAAAGAGAGAGAAAGAGGGAGAGAGAGAGAGAAAACGCCAGAGAGTGAAGCAATGATCTGGCTTCTCCTGCTATCATCAAGGGAAGGGAAGGGAGGGAGGAGTGCAAAGACACAGAGAGAGGAAAAAAAATAAAGAATGGGACGGAAAAGAAAGAGGGAGTCCTTATTAACATGGCCTCAAGGCGCTCTGCCATCCCTCTCATTCTTTCACCCACTCTTTATCACTTTCCACACCAATTGCCCACACACAAAACACTAATCTTCCAAACAAACTGCACAGAAAAGCTGATTCAAAACTACACAAAGTGCAGCATCATTTTCTGAGCGTTTCTCTCAAAAACACATGCGCGTTGCTGATTCGATTCTTCTTCGGATAAAGGCGGGCATTACTGACAGAAAAAATTTGTCACTTCCTTGCGAGCAGTGACATGGTGTGATGATGTTAGCATGCGTTACGGTTTTGATACACCGCTGGCAGTACATCACAGAGATGTTGAGGTTTGCTGTCAGTAATGTATGGAAACATGACCAAACACAATGTGCTGTTGACTCCAGACTTTATCGAAAATCTAAAATATAGCTTCAGGCTAGTGTTAAGAAAAGCCTTGTCTGTTCTGTCTGGATGTAAGAGACCACCCAGGATGACAACAATCCAGTGTATGTATGTGTCTGACATGGGTGTTTGTAGCTGTGGGCAAGCAATATTGTACTGAGACGTACAAAAGACGAGGCTCACAGTGGAAACCGGGCCTGGTCTCTGTTCAGTGGAGCTGTGATCCACAGCCAAACACACTGGGCCAAGCCTTCGAATGCAAACTCCTTATCCCACGACAACCCCGTTGGGGCCTGAGGGAGTTGCAGAGGGACACGTTGTGTTACTCTTTCCACTGCTCTCCCGCTTCATTGTTCTGGCCAGAACTGCAATGGCAAATCCCTCTACAAACAACAACATTCTGCTGGCAGATTCCATTTCCTCTAGCTTCAGCTGATTTGCAGCTGTGGTGGCTGCCATCTTTGCATGCATGCTGTCTCATTCATCTACGTGCAATGCAGCATCCCAGTACCACACTCTCATTTCCCCAATCTGGAACAATACAGGAATAAACTGTGACGGTGAAATCCAGAAGTGTTCACGCAAATACCAAAGAATCAGGTGAGTCGATGAGCTCAGCCTGGACTTTGATACTCTGGTTGTTTCCCAGAATAAATATTGACCTTGGGTCGTTTCCAAACAACAAGCCTGCTGAACTCAACAAACTATTCCTAAGCCTCGGCCCAACCTGCTAACCCACATTCCAACAGGACAGCCCTCGTCACCCCCCACCTTCATATGGATAACACGACCCTCTCAGGTGACAGGTAACAGACGCCCTGCTCAAGCTGTTCAAACCAGACTGCTTCTTGGAAAGAAGGAATCACAAGCAGACAAATCTAAACACAGGTGGTGAAAAGATCACACTGGAACATTTGGAGGGGATCAGGTGTTCACATTTGCAGTATGAGGTGAATATTAAAACATAAATGCATCAACAGATTAACTCTGAACCCCGAGACCCACTGGTGTGTTTAACAAGCATGAGATCTTTGAAAAATCACCAAAACTACAACATTTATTAGAAATAGGAATTGTAAAAACAGACAAATGTTTGTGATAGTTTTTGAACTAATCATGTGTGACGTGCAGGTCAATTACCCTCAAAATCAATCGATTCTACATGTCTCACTTAAAGATTTGCCTAAAATAAACCTTTTACTCCAAACTGATTAGGCAAAATCTTAAAATCTGGCGCTCCTTGGTGCGACTGAGAAGCTGTGACACGCAGTTCAGTTGGAAAAATTGCAGAATCCAGGCTTGAAATCATGATATTTGATTAAAATCGCTTTACTTAGCATGTCTTATTTAAACACTGCCAAAAAATAAACCGCTTTTACTAACCAGAATCTGTACAAAGAAAAATTGAAATTTTGTTCTCCTTGGCACAACTGAGAAGCCAGTAGTGACTCTGCTGCTACCAACAGTTATGAGACTAACGTTTTGGCTGAACTGCAGGCTGTGTTTACAAAGATCAGAAAGGAGACAAGTATGGAAAACTATAAAATATACGTAGTAAAATCTATAATATGAAGTGCTGCCATTTTTTCCCCAGTATTGGTAGCATCTATAGGCTGCTTGGAAAATGTTGCATGTTGACTGCAGTTTTGTTTTTTAAATTATTGCAATAAATAAAGAAATTCAACTTTTTTCAAGTTGTTTTGGAGTTTTCTTTACCTCTAGCCATGGTTGCCCTGTTTCCATAGTCATGCAGGACTATCTTGCAGTAAAAAATGATCCCACAGCGAGTAAAAATGTGGGAAAAGAAAAGACATCCAAAATCTACTTGGGCATCAGAGGGTTAAAGCACCACTTGGTTAACTTTAAATTTGATTCAGTACGCATTCAGCCACTGCAGGCCTCTTCTCGAGCTGTGAGGCTGGAAACACATTTATATTTCTAATGTGCAGCAGTGGTTGCAGTTTACCACTGAAAAAAAAAAATCAAATGGGCTCAGGAAGGTGGAATATAAAGACAAGTGGTCACTCGAGACACATTTGAGATGCATTCTAATACCGAGCATGGACAGTCACTTATCTCAGCTGAGCCAAGACTTACTGTACAGTCTATTACGTCTCAGACTAAGGCAAATCGATGCCAGTTGGTAAGGAGGGGACAGAAATGCGGGGGGTGAGACACATTTCAAATGTGTGTTACAAAGGCCATCCAGCAGTTAGCCTTGTCCAGCTCGAGGAAAACCTGGCTCTTGGGTGCCAAGGCAGGATCTGGCAGTCAGCTGGAAAATGAGGACACTGCAGAGATGGAGCCCTAGAAATAAAACACCCATATAAAAAAAAAAAAAAAAAACCAGCTCTGTCTCCCTGCATCAGTGCAGCTCAAGCGCACATGTGCATGTGAGCCTATATGTATGAGCGTAGTCGTGAGCTGTATGTAGGTTATATGTGTCAGTGCATGATGCATGTGTGTCAGCGAGGGTCCGGGGCTCCAGACAACAGTAAAAAAAAAAAAAATGCTCAGTCAGCCTCACAGCTCCCTCTCAGTGAAATGCAAGTGGGCCGAAACAAAAACCCCGCAGCCATGGGTGGCCAAAACAACTTTAGACATCACACACAGAGGGACGGTTAGTGAGAGACTGACCGGAAGCATGCTCTCACATACACAGTACAATCAGATAGGAGACAATTAAGTGTCAGGCTTAAAGCATTAAAATGCTGCAGGCCTGTTGGGGTCAACCACTTCCTATGTCAGCATTAGCATGTAATCTAAACAGGGCAGATTACTAACTTGCTTTGGTGCTGTGACCACAGCAACAAATTCACCAAACCATTGAGGTCATTTGGTTTTCGTAGGAACACCGGTTGGTTACCGTCTAAGTGTATTTTTGAGCTGACAAATTTTCAATCTGGATTAATTTCTGATAATATCAAGCTATTTTAAGAAGAAAATATGAATATCACTGCAATCTTTAACCCCTGTTAAATGGATTTGCACGGTCCAGTCCTCGGGTAATCGCCACATTAAGCATCAGATGAATTTAGCGCCTTGTAACACTGAAGGACATCTCGTGGGGCCCGGATGAAATGCTTTATAACTCCTGGTTAAATCAGTAGCAATTAACTTCAGTCTAAACAACTTTGGATGTTACGCTTTTAGTGGCCGAGTAGGCAGTTTGAAATATGGTATGATAGCTCTTTGACTCCAGCAGTGGCTAAATAAAACCAAAACACGACATACACACGCACACCACAGCAGCTCAGTGAGAGAAGAAGATTATTCTTGCGTAAGACAGAACATGCCTAAAGACAGAGTGCCCACATCTGGCTGGCGCTAATAGCGGAAACTCATTAATACATGCTGGTTAATTATTAGTCTACCTGATGCCATACATTTTTACCCCAGCATAGGGCTTTGTTGCTGGCCAGCAGGCAGACGGTGATTAGAGCCGACAGCCTATGCTAGACTAGGGTATGCAATTACCTTCACTCCAGAATATGATGTGCGCTTAGTAATACACACATACTTCCACCCCAGCTATGAGATTAAAATAATCCTCGCAGAAAGGATGAGAGATGAACACAGTTAAGGTGAAACGTCAAACACTTCTGCTTTGTCGTAAATCATGTACATAACAAATCACGCAGCGCTGTTACCATGTCATGTTTTACAGCTAGCAGGGGATAAAACTGTGTCTTCGCCTCCCTTTCTATGAATTTTATTGTAAGGTGGCGCGACAATGAGAAACTGGAATTTTTGTGCTGGTGCAAATAAAAGCTGGGGACAGAAAACACAACACCGGTTGCCTTTTCTGATTAAACGCACAGAGAAGTACCTGGTCGCTGAGTCAACACCTCAGGTGATTTTGTCTGTAATGTGCATTTGTGTCTGTGAGTCATCAAAGGGAGGTGACTGGTGGTGACTGCACAGATTCCTCACCTCCTGTGGCATTTGGACAACATGAATCAGCTCTCAGAATAATCTGTCTAAATATAGGGCGGTAGACAAATTCCTCTAAAACTAAGGTTGTGGGAAAAGTGTTTGTAGCAAACACACAATGTTTAGCTCTTGCAAAATAACTATATTTGCACGAGTTTAAACTGCAAACAGCAAGACATTTATCGATTACATGCTACAGACTGCTGTCTGGGCCAGGAAAAAGTTGTGGCGATTTCTAACAGGGGCACTTTTTAAATGTCACATGTCTGCATGTAGGCATGGGATGCATGCTATAAGCTCTTTCATACAGTAAGGACTGTACGGAGCTGCTCGACTTGAATATATTCTGACCTTCAACCCCTTTATCCAGCAATTTCCTGGGATTGAAACAGCAGCACAATTGAGGCTCACATCTTAACCAGAAATCCAAAGAGCAGCCAAATAAGAGAGCAACTAAATTGTTAAGTAACAGTAGAAATGGACACGGGTGAGCACGGGACTACAAAATGTGTCGGATACATCAGTGTGCGAGGCGGATAGTGTAGGCAATCTGATTACTGCAACCACTTTAATAGCAAGTGAACATTTGAGATTCTGTGAAAAGCAAGATAGCAGACTGACTGTAAAAGCTTTCCACGACATTCTGATATAAAGGCAATAACCTCCCTGCTGGCTTTTGTCCATCTGCACTTCTTTTGGCTTTCGTTGCTAGCAAAGAGCTGCTGTGTTTAGAGTGAGGTTGTGAATTACCTGTTAAACTTGGGTGTCCTGTGGGAGATAACATATAAACCGTGTCTGATATGAGAAAACAGGCCTCGCCTCAGAAGAAAACCTTGCTGGGTATTGAAACACTAATCAAAATGTTGTGACACTGCTAACATATTCACAAGCCAAAAACACATATCGAAGAGCCAGAGGCAATGTTTGTTTTTCCTCCTTAGTTATTAAAAGATGAGCTGTCGAAACAGAACAAGTCAGCTTCTCACATTATTTATAGACGCTGGAAATTTGCTGAAATAACAGCTGATTTACTACCAAGGGAATCAGGTTGATTATTTCATAATCTGAGGCATAATGACACATATGTCACAGTTAAATAATAACAGATCTCCTTAAAGTTGTAAGAAGACAGTGTTGCTTCACCTGCAGGTCGGGACAGGCCCTGTAATTCAGTCGCACAAAATGCAAACAGCGTGAAGCAACAGTAAGCACACAGACACTCCGGCAGAGACGAGTATTTCAGGGAGAGATGAGCTTAAAGCTGAAGCACTTGGCGCAGATCCTCAGTTTATCTCAAAAATACACACTTCCTGATTGCTCAACATTGCTATTAACCTTTAAAAAACACACCGAGAAATCATTTTATTAACCAAAACATTGCATATCTTCTCGTTTGTGTATTAGGCACCAGTAAAAAGGGATGCTTCCTTGTTACAACTTTCATTGGCTGCAGTTCAACAGCTGTCCTCAATTGAAGCTACAAAAAGCCAGTCAGATAGATATGAGCCTAGTACTTGAGCCAAATATGCATCTCCTCACAACCAGCAAGCATTTTAAGCACTAAAGGGAAGCCAAATGAGAAGGCAAAACCGTTAGCAGCAAGAGCCTAGACCAAGAATCACTTCCTGCCTTTACATGTGCTCGGCTGCCCGCTCCTTCTGCTTTGGCCCTGCCCTGCTAAAACTGGAATGCAGCTGACAGACAAACAAGCCTCTGTGGTTCGGCCTCCAAAAAGCGAGGTATATTACAGAGGGAGATGTGTCAGGTAAAGGTATTGGGCTGAGAATACCAATGCAGCAGTGGCACAAGCCTCGACTCTGCTGCCTTCACCTGAGCTAGCCTAGCACACGGAAAAAAAAAACCCTCAGCCAACGCAGCCTCGGCTTGCTTAAAACAAACAAGAGTGGCACAGAGAGGGGGAAAGGAGAGGCTGTTTTGGCGTGTCTGAAGGGGTGAGCGCTGATGCGGAATGGCAGCAAAGACAGACGGCAGGCTACCCTCCTGAGCTCGGTTCAGAGCTGGGAGATGCCACAGCAGGCCTCTGACAGAGCACGTTTTATGGGAGTGTCTGTCTGCTGGAATGCACTCTGCTTCAGGGCAGATTCCACAGCGCATTCAGGCTGTACTTGTGGCAATTTGATTCCCATCAATAACCAGCCTCCTAACAGCATAACTTGTAATACAAGGTTCCGGCGTGCCTCGTAATCTTGGGCTGCTTGGATTGTTTGTGTGTGAAGATGGGGTGCTGGGGGTGAATCAATCCAAGTCCAGGGCCCTTTGGGGGGAAAACATTAGTCACAACCATGCAGCACAGGAGTAATGCATCCAGTGAGAAGCTGATGTTACTTTAGATAAAGTGCTTTGTGCGCTCTTTCTCCACCTTCCTTGTCTGTCAACGCCGACAGATAAGCACGCCTCAACAGGGATTGATTTTCAATAGTCATTCAGACGTCCATTAGGCAAATTATCTACTTTGCCCCCCAAGCCTTGCATTGGTAAAAAGGATACACAAATATAACCATGCCAAGCAAATAGACCCCACCCAGGTAAGTGTGCTGCATGTGTGCTTTATCTGGTGCCAAAGGTACAGTCCAGCTGATTGCAACAGTTTACAGAGAAGGCAACAAATTAAGGCCACCTTTCCCTCCTCACAGATAAAGAGGAACAAGACGTGCAGCACCAGTGTTCACTCACTGAATTAGTGAGATCCAGAGTCACTATGGGGTAAAATTGATGAGATTAGCAAGCAGTGCTGAGATTAGGCGTCTGCTTTGACTGAAAACTGAACGAGGCTGCTCGACTAATCATCCCTGATTGAGATTAGCCAGAGAAATTGGACACAGACAGTCCAAATCAGTCTATTGGACAGCACTGAACACACACACACACAAAATGGAACTCTATTTTTCTTTAACGGAGCTTACACGTCTTATATCTATCAGCATTTGTGAGGAAACTAGCTCAGACACATGGAACACGTTTTCTAGAAAAAAAAAAAAAAACCGTTGGCTAACCAGTTTTCTTCAAAGCAGTGGTGCCAGCAGCCAGGCCCAGGCCAGGCTCGGCTGTCGGAAGACGCTAGTTTAGGGGGGTACAAAAGAACCACAGCCTTGAGGCATCTCTATTGACGAAAAATAAAAATTCTGCTTTCTCAAAGGGGCTTTTTTAAATCAACAAAACGCTGAATTTCTGCTCCCCCGCGCCGCTGTGCCATCGCCTCCCAGACGCTAGCTAGCTGCTAGCATGTCTAGCTAACGAATTACCTGTCCTGTTGGGGTGTTCGATTCATTCACAAAAATGGGTGAAAGGTGTAGTTTTAGAAGCGAAGAAAAACACTCCGGTGCGGTATAAAAGACGGCGAGCTTACCGAGGTTGTTTTAAATCAGAAGAATAGAAAGTGAGGCGTTTTTTCGTGCTCTTACCTTGTCCAGACAATTCACTTTTTCCGTGGGGTAAACGACTAGATTACATCTGCCACACATCGGATTCATGTTGGAGGAATGCTCTTCTAGCTAGTTAGCACAGAAACCGCCGCTGATGCCGCTCGTAGCCGTCGAGTGTTCACTTGGGAAACTAGCTACTAGTGTGCGATTGTGATCGGTGGCGGGGACAACACTAATCTAGTTGTAAATCCAGGAGGTTGTTGTTGTCGTTGTAGCCGCACAGCTGGCTGTCAGTCCACTAACCAGACACGGAAAGCGCGCTCCCGCTGCCTCCCCCCCTCCTCCTCGCCCCCTCCCTTCCTCCCTTGAGTGCGCGTGTCCGAGCAGAAAGGGAAGAGAAATAATGTGGGAGGTTCATTATTTAAAAAAAAAACAAAAAAAACTTGGAATCAATGATTTCTAAGCAGCAAAAAAAAACATCTGTGCATTGTGCATATTTATGAACCTGAGTCCACATCGTTTGAAAATGAAGCAACACAAGCTCCAAGAACTCTCTTGTGCACGTCTGTCCTCCCTCCATCTGCTGCTCTGCATAGCAAACTCATGCGATCATCTTTATTGCTGCAGGTTTTTGGGGCTTTACCAATCCGCTGCTGCTCTCAAATCACATTTTTACACATCTGCCACGTTCACTTGCATGTCCTATTTCATGTGCAGGTGATGCGCTGGGTTAGGGTGACATCTGCTGACAAAAGAGCTGTACTGTATCCTTCATGTTCAGTCCCAAATTATTCATCCCCTTTTCCAAAATTTCATTTATAGTGGATTTTTGTTTCACTTGTATGATTCTTGTGGCTGGAAATGACATAAAAAGATGCTAAGACGCTGTGATAGAGAGGTTAATGATTTTTTCACATTTTACTGCAGCTTATACGCCACTCCATATGGTTCTGGTCATTTCTATCATGTTTCAGAGTGTACTAATACAGTATAAATTGGGACCAGCTGATGCAGTAATTTTAGCCCGTTACTGATCGGCTGCAGATCATGGTTAAAACCAAAGAGCTGCACATTGTGTGGCTATAGAACCATGTCCCTGTGTTTTCAAGAGCCAGTGACCACAGTGCAGCAATAATCAAAAAGCATGAGGCATTCCACACTTTGAAAAATCTTACAGGTCACGACAGCAGGCCAGAAGTGACTCCTGCACTGGAAAGAATGGTAGAGGTCAAGAAGAATCTAAGGATCAGCACCAAGAGCATCCTGGTGAATCTGAGCAGTTCTGGTCGCAACATGTTGGACACTGACCAAAGCGGACGTCACTTCTCTAAGACAGACACACAAAAGTTCCGCTGGATAAAGAAGAAAGCATCTGCTAATCAGCTCTGTGGTCGGATGAGATGAAAATGTTTGGACACAAAGAAAGAAGACGCATTCAACCCCAACAGCACCATCCTCAAGGTCAAACATGCTGGTGAGAATGTGATGCCTTTGGAAGGGTGTTTTTCCAGCGGTATCATGATAACAGTAAGATTCTGGAAGAAAACATTGGGTAGTTTGCAGAAAACTTGTCCTTGGGCCAGCACTAGGCCTTCCAACAAGATTTTAAACATGTAGCCAAAGAGGTTAAGAAATGGTGAATAGAAAACCAGATCAACAGGCTGGAGTCCAGGAAACCTTCCAACCTTAAAGATCTGGAGAAAATCACAAAGAGGGGTGTAACAAAATCCCAGTGGAGACATGCTGAAAGCTTGTTAGCAAGTATAAGGACTGTTTGATAACTGTGATGTCAAATCAAGGCTTTGCCATTGATCGCTGAATCATCGTGGATATGCCATTTTTAGTAAAAAGTAACAAGAAACATAGAAATCAGCTCCTCCAACACAATGTCTTGCCATCTTCTGTCATGTGGTGATGTAATTTCCAGCCACAAGAAACCTATTGGTGAAATTAAAACTTGCTATAAAGCCAAATTTGGTAATGGGTATAAATAAACTAGCTTTGCGCTCCTTTTATGTACAGCATCAAATAACAAAAATACTCCAAAGCATGTTTTGCAAGCTGGAGTTCTGATCAGGAACTGTATTACATGTTTGTGTAAAACAAAAGGTGGAACTTGAAAGGTTTAGCTTAAAAGTCAAAAGCAGCAGGAACTGAAACTGAAGCACACCCACATCTTTATTCGCTTGATGTGAAGCAGCACAATTTCCGTAATTTTCTAAGAATGTCAACGTTGTGGCATGCATTTCACAGTTCATTGCAGTCAAATTTGTGTTTTTTTTTTAAAGGAGAGTATGTCGTCACCATCACTTCTTCCAGCAGAGACATTTAGCTATTCTCTACCTAAACTGCTGCAACATTTTCATCTTTTTTGTAGTGATATCACAAACTTTAAAAAAAAAAGACTTCATGTAGAACTTTTTGGAATTGGATTGTTTTTTTTTTTTTGCACAAATGTACATGTTTCCACTCGTGGCTTCAACATGGTCCAGCTTCGACAATGCTGTCTTTTTCGTGACCTTCTCCTTCCACTTCTGTGTATCCAGGCTGTTGCTTTTGGAACTTCAAGGAAGGCCAGTAGCTCTTGCGTCGCTGAAAAGCATCAAACAGTTTCAAACAAGATTTTTTGGCATGGACTCATTGTGTGTAAAAAACCAGATTGGTGCAGGGGGCATTGGGTGCTCACCTGGATGAGGTAAAGCGGCGATGCAGCAGCAGGATGACAGTTGATGTACAGTGCAACAAGTACCAAAGCCAAGAGTAGCACCAGAGCAGCTGCTATCCCAGCTATCACCCCAGTGTTAGCCAGCCCCTCGCTCTTTTTCGAAGAATCCGTTTTAACATCTAAAGTCAAGACATGTAGTTAAAACTCCAACCCCAAAGCTCAATCATAATGGCTCCTACAAAACAGAACTGTAACTCACCACTGCCAGTCTTGAATATATGACGTTTGGTGTCATCTAAAAACAAATTTTCATACTTATTCCAATGCAGAATCTATTTTCATTGAACAACAAGGCGAAATATTGGCCTTCTCCTCACCATCGCTTTCACAGCCTTTTTGTTGAGGAGTCAAAGCCGTTGTGTCCTCGATCTCTGGAGTGATGGAGGAATCGGTGGAGCTGTCGCCTCGGTTGTAATCCTCACAGGTCGCATCTTTGCTCTGCACATGCACGGTACAATACATCATGAGGTTATAGTAAAATGCATGAAAATATAAAACAAACAGATGCTGATTGTTGATGTCAAGCTGTACCTCTTCTGAGCAGTCATAATCCAGCCATTCTTGCCTGTGTCTGTCCATGCCATCTGAACACCTAAAACACAGGATTAATATAAAATCGAGTGTAAAACAGTTAACGTGGGCTTGCAGAAGGTCCCACTCACCTCTGGAGGACGTGACACCAACTACAACCAGAGGTTTGGTTGGATGAGAGGCAGAGCTCGCAGCTGCCATGCAGAAGGCAGGCTAAACAGAGAAAAACAAGCAATAAACACTGTAGATATTTGATTGTTTGAGTGCATGTGATGGGTTCTCAATTATAAAATGAAATATTTTGACATCTTAGGAGATTCACTTACTGGGGAGTGGAGTGAACTCAACAGCAGAATAGTTGGTAATCTTTGTGGTGTCGATTTCAACTCGATGGTACTCGTAGATAGTTTGCCGTGGGGCACCTGGATGAAACATATCATATCATACAACACTGGCTGCAGAGTATTTATGCTCCTGTTGTACACTGTGTATCCTAGAGGACGAGTATGACCATTAGTGCTGACCTGGTGACTGAGAGGAGGGCGACATGACCATGAAGGCGTCAGACAAACCAGCCTTCACCGGATGCTCAGCTGTGCCAATCACATCTAATGACATCGGGATCTGGTGAAACGACAGAAGAAGATCCATATATGCAATTTTATGATCAGATTTAAGAAAGCTACTAAAGAACCAAAGCAGAGATGCGTCTCACGTCTCGGTAGCTGAAAGTGATGGTCCCTGTTTTGTAAAGTGCAGCCTGAAATGTAAAAGCTCCCACTGACTCCCGGCCCGAGAGTCTGACCTGCTCCCACTGGACCACAAACACCTCTCCTGAAGGAAATGAAAGAAACAGGAATGAGACAAATAATCAGACAAGAACCTGCTCAGATGTATGCACGGTATACGTGGTATTATACCGTTATCCAGGTATTGCACGGTGGATTCTTTAGAGTAGCTGGGGTCAAAATTCGCCATCAGAGGGGCGATGTACTGAGTCACGGTGAGCATACGGTGAGTAATGTCCCCTGTGAAGATAAACCCTGAAAGAGGCCAGATGGAAAAATATGTAAGACGGACTTGTTACACTGCTAGAAACACCTCTATGCTGTGGACATATGCAAGAAAGGTCACACGAACATCTGTTAGAAAATCAAACTGTACCTCCTGTTGCTATGGTAATCTGCCTCAGGTAATGGCCGTAAAAAGGAAAGTCAAAAGACAGGGCAACCCTCTGCAAAGAGAGAAGACACAGAGAGGAAGAGAAGGATTTAAATATACATCTTTATGATTGCAACCTCTTCCTTGGTGTTTTGAGCTGTTATTTTGCAGGGGAAAACATCCTGATTAAAGATTTTAATTGCACTGAATTAAATAAGGAAGCTGCAAAAGGCTTTCTTGTTGAGGAAAAAGCTCCAAACAGGTGACAAATTCAAGGAAAAACCTGAACCTTTGACCCCTACAGTGACCTATTGTGGTTTGAGTCCTCTTAGAGCAAAGGATAACTGCAAGTCGTTACACTGTTGTTCTGAGCAATCGACTTTATGACAGTGCCTCATCCATAAGGCCTGAGGGGTCACTGAATGGTTTGTTGAGGATGAAAATGATGTGAATCGTCATATTTTTTAATTATGTAACTATTAGGGCTATATCGGCGATCACATCGGTATCGATATTAGTGGTTTTTCCATATATTGGTATCGGTCTGATGAACAAATTAGCCGATGTGAAAAACCTATGATTGTCTAACATTAGCGCCTTCGTCTCTACATTTGATATTGCTGCTATTTCACAGATGTTTTTACTTAAATGGTCCTTGACTTGAACGTTAAATATGTTGAAATATGTTTAATTTTGTTACATAATAAAGAAGACTATGTGGTCTAATTTAGTATGGGATTCTTCTGAATAGTTTTCTCACACTGCTTACTTCTACTCATTTTTCCGATGTGAACAAAAATTGAATGTCGACATCGGTAATATTGGTTATATCATAAATCTTAATATCAGATATCGGTATCGGCCAGAAATTTTAATATCGTGCATCGCTAGTAATTATGCTATTATTAACTTTAGAATAATGATTAAAACATTCTTTGCCTAAACAATAGTGTTTATGTTCTTTACATAACAGCAAATATCTGTAAAACAACTTAATTATGGCAAAATAATTTTCCAATAAGGAAATTTAAAATACACGTTATATCTTCAAATAAAAATGTTGTGTGTGGATATAATTTACAATTTTATAGGTAGCAGCAGAATCTGCTTTTCTCCTGCCAAAACCACAGAAGGAACTAATGTGTCAAATGAAGTGACATTACATATATACAGGCGTGACTCTTCATATCTAACAACAGTTTGATTTATTACAGAGTGCTATTACTTTGAAATCCCATTGATAAACACATAAAGAGGGGGCACCCGGATTTGAACCGGGGACCTCTTGATCTGCAGTCAAATGCTCTACCACTGAGCTATACCCCCTTACACACTGTCCAATATTGGTCTTGTGAAAACATGTTTGCCAAATGACCGGACATTTGCGGGCCCTTTTGCGAGCAGCCTGTTTGAGATTAGTATTTTCCCAGGCGGCCTGATGTCACTATTTTGCAGTGGACGAGTTAAAACACAGACAAAACTTGGCTGTGTCTGAATGGATTGTTGAAATTTCTGCGTTTCAACTTTCCAAAACATATATTCTGACCCACAACAATCTGATTCACTCTCCAAAATCCATATTATCAGCGTCTGGATCATTGGGGCGAAAAGGACAACTGACCTTTTTGTAACACAGATAAAGATAAATACCTTCGAGCGCTGTTGTAACTGCGTCAAATTAAACTGAAGCCACCTGTCTTTTTATTTCCCAAACTACAATCACATTTCCCTTCTCAGCTTCATCCGTTTACAGTCTGATCTAGGGAGTGATAAAATCAACAACTGCTGCTTGTCCAACTGTGACTGAATGTGTCTAGACAGCACCAACCGGCAGGTCCATTTGGGTTTTGTCCATCTGTATTCACTCTTGGTAGTTTTTTTTTTTTTCAGTGTACATGGATTTTTTTTTTCTTCCTGCTAAAGTGAGCTGTATGTATAACACAGGTGCCAGGTGTTGGACAATAGTGCAGGCAGGTGCTGACAGCTGCTGGAGGGCCTGCAGTGCTTGGCAAGTACCAGCATCTCCCTCAGCTCCCTCAGCAGTGTTACCTTATGTTTCAGGTTGAATTCCATCCTGACCTGCTCTCACATAAAATGTTAGGGGGGGAAATATTATCAGGGTTTGCTCTTTTAACAGAACTGTGAGTTTACAAGGACAGAGAGACGTGTTAACCCACATAAACCACTTCTCAATTTGCACTACAATAGACTACAGCACTCAGTGGGTTTAAAGAACAATATCAGAGTGAAACAAACCGCGTGTTATTTTCGTAGTTTAATCGCAGCAACTGGACTTGCTTGAGTTCCTTGAAGATGTTTCACCTCTCATCCAAGAGGCTTCATCAGTTCTGACTGACTAGTTGGGAGTTTCAGATACTTATATTCTTTAGGAGCCATTAACACCTGAGTTTCAGTTTCATCTGGGGGTTTGTTGCCAAATTTAGAAGCTTGCCCACTTCCCCATTGTGGGAGGGGAGTCCTAACGACTCACATAATAAAGAGAGGTGAAACGTCTTCAAGAAGCAAGTCCAGTTGGTATGATTAAACTACAAGAACAACCATGACCTGGATTACTGAGAATCTTCACAAAGTGCATGTTGTAACATAAAGGACAGGGGGCACCCAGATTTGAACTGGGGACCTCTTGATCTGCAGTCAAATGCTCTACCACTGAGCTATACCCCCTA